GGTGGAACGCTCTGTCACAAGAGACTAGGGCCCTGCAGGACTGACATCTTTCCGCAGGGCCTGCAAGACAGAGCTGTTCCACCAGGCCTTTGGTCAGGGCGCAGCCTGACTCCCTCCTTTGGCAATCTTTACAATACTTTAGTTTATGGTTGCCATCAATTTGATTTTAATTAATTCTTATGATGTTTTATAATGTTGCACTATTTTAGTGTTGTTAGCCGCCCTGAGCCCGGCTTCGGCTGGGGAGGGCGGGATATAAATAAAATTTATTATTATTATTATTATTATTATTCTGCAGCCATAGGTGTCTTCCTCCTCTCCCCACACCCCGCAAATGCTTTGGCTGCAGCCCCATTGGGATTGAGCCCTTTGAAATTGGTGGGATCTACTCCTAACTTAAAAGTATGTGTAGTTGCATTGCAGGGGGTTGAACTAGACAACCCTTGTGGTCCCAACTCTACAATTCTTTGATTCCATGATTCTCTCTCTCCCTCTCCCTCTCTCTCTCTCTCTCTCTCTCTCTCTCTCTCTCCCTCCCCAGGGTTCGAGTACGTTACCAGAAGAGGCAGAAGCTGCAGTTTGAAACCAAGCTGGGCATGAATTCTCCATTTTAATCCCCACAAGTAGGACGTGCCCTGGAAGGCCTGGGGGCTGCATGTTCCCTTCTCACACAACCTTGCCACCTTGCTGAGAGAGGAAAGGAAAAAAGCACCCAGCCTCAGGTGTGAATCCCTCTGGTCAGTGTGGATCAGAAGAGGCCAACCCCAAAGAGCAGGGAGAGCTACATCTTGAGCGCTGGTGAAGATTCAGTGCCTGGCATGAAAGCGTTGGTGGGACATGGACTGCTGCTTTTCCTTCTTTAAAATTTATTTTTTACACCTCCTTCCCTTGGAACTCCTTGGGATCCAGCAGATTGACACCTTGGATCGAAGAGCAAGGAATTCTCATTTGACACTCCCCACCCCCCGCCGTTCATAATTTGACTAGGTTATATCTCTATTTGTCCTTCTTGCCCCCGCCCCCCGACTTCCCTGTCGATCTCATCTGTTCATTTGTTGCGATGCTGCTTGCCCTAGGGCATTCTGGGTATAAGCGCTGCACCCATCCAGGAGGGAATAGGAGCAGCTGGCCTGCTAACTGGCCCTGCAGAAGTACCCCCCCAGCTGCAGTCCCTGTGACCCACAGAACAGCCCTTCGCCTGGAGGCTGCCGCCTTGTGGAAGATGAAGCAGAGGGGCAGGATGCCTGGGAGGTTTGCTGCTATGAGTACAAAGGCAGCCCTTCTCCAGTTAAATACCTCTGGGATGTAAAGTATGTAATAACAGAGTTAATAGGCCAGACCCTTCGCCACCGTCATGAGAGCATCCTTTTAGGGATGGGATATTGTGGATATACCTCAGCCCTGGCTGTCTTTTAGTGCTTAATACTGAAAGGGCTGGGTTTGTGTGTTTTTCTTGTACACCCACTCACTGTTTGATAAACCTTGTGAGTGACCGAGGTCTGAGAGGTCATGTGGTTTTCTGTGCTTGTCCGGGCATGGAAGACAAAGGCATGTGGGCCAGATCTGAGTCTGGATTGACGGATTGCTTGATCTTTCACTTTTTCTTCATTGAAAGAGTGCTGCGTCTACAAACCCCCTCTTGGCTGCTTTGAATGGAGGATGGCAGATGAGGCTGGGCATAGTTCCTTTCTCATATCTATGGGCTAGACTTGGGATCTTGGTTGCATTTTGTGCTTGCCCCACTGTTTAAGTTGGAGACATATAGCATACTATCCCATGGTCTGTTTCCCTAAACACAGGGAATTAAGTCTGGGTGGATTCACCACGCAGTGCTGGGAATCTGCATCGTCCTCAATCCACCCTCTCTCTTGCCTGCCAATTTTAGCCGTGGTGGATAAACTCAGGCTGTTGCTTTTGGCGGGAAGAAATCAGAACTACCTCTGTTGGCCAACCTCTGCTCTATTTATGGACAACTTCAGGGACAGCTGCCTTCTCTGCAAGACCAATCACTTAGATAACAGGGCATGTGTTGTTTGGGAGTAGGTATTTTGGGCTACTGTGGACGGGCTGTTGAGTATTCAGGGCTCCATGGAGGATCTGCTCTACCTGGAAGGGTTTTGGCCAAGGCAATCCAATTAACCTCGTCCTAGAGTTGTTTAAAAGCACTGACCCACCCTAGCATGGTAGTTAGAAAACTTGCCAAGCCTTCTTAAGGAAACGAGGGCAAATTAACCTTTTGGCGGGAGGGATACTTTTGTCCTTCCACAGCAGACAAAACGACATTTTACTTTACTAGATTAGAAAAGAAAAAAAATCATAGGTTTAGGCCTGGCCGGAGGTAGTGGTGATGGAAGGAGAAAAGTGATACCTGGAGGATTTTAAGAAGCTTGTAGTACAGCCTTCCCCAACCTGGTGCAATCCAGATGTTTTGGGTGACAACTCCCATTAGCTGCAGACAATTTGGCCATGCTGGCTTGGGCTGGTAGAAGACACATTCCAAAACAGCTGGAGGGCATCAAACTGGAAAAGGTCGGTGTGGTTAAGGTCAGAGGATGTTCCTTTAAGCCCCCCTGCACATGGCAAAGTTCTCCAAAGCTGTGGCATGTATGCTGACTCCAGCTGGCTGTGACTGGGAAATCGGCCAATATCCTATGTTTATATTTTAAAAAGAGGCTATTGTTTAGAAACTGTTAAAAACACGTTCTCCCTCCCATTTTCATCATTTCTGTTCCCACGTAGCACAAGGTTTGCTGCCATCTCACTTGGTGTGATGGTGTATTGTACTGCTCCCCCAAGGGCAAAGAGCTTTGGGGAATGGGCTGCGTTTCACCTCGGTACTAACCAGCAACAGTCCTCCCCTAGTGTCAGAATTGCCACTGGCTTCAGTGGGTCAGGATTTGCACCCCTAGCCTGAGGCCAGCGGTGCTTGGCATGTGCCAGTTTTGGGTCTCTGGTCCCAGGCTAAGTTGTGGGTGGTTTGTGCAGATTTTGTATTTGGAAACTGGACTGATTTGCTTCGGGTGACAGACACTTGGGTAGCTGCATTTAAGCAACTGCCTTCGTCCTCCCCTCGTTCTGAACCAATTGGGAGTCCTCGATGCCTAAAAGCTGTTTGCCGCAATATTTTTTCCTTAAGTGATTTTAAAGCTTTACACCTGATAAACTGTCTCGGGCAGTTTCCCTGCTAGACAAGGCACTTTCTGTAGACTTTTGTCTGTGGTGGTTGATCACGCTGAAAAAGATTCCCCTCCCTGCACTTCACGCACTCTTTCCCCTCCTCAATTGTACTCCACTGGAGTCAGATAATGAGCCTTTTCAATGGCTTTCTCTTGAAAGTCCATGTTGCCTTGCTGCCTCCCCTCACCCCCAGCCACCCCCCTCTTCCTCCTCGTCCAGCCAAGGCTTCAGAAAGGTGTGAGGCGTATGGCTTTAGGAAGGAGTTTCACCCATCCAACTGTTTTTAAATGGTGTATATTTTATATTTAAACTTTTCTGGGGATGTATGTAAAAAAAATAAATAGATTTGTATGAAAACTTGTAAATTGTACAAAAAGGAACAAAGAGCACCTGATATGAATGGCAATAAATGATTGTCTTTGATACAGTAAATTTTTGAGAGGATTGGCATTTGTGCTTTGTAATGTATGCTATCTCAGGAATCCTTATAACAGTCTTGTAAAGTAGACCAGAATTCTTACAGATTGATGGGCAGGGGGCAGCTTGTCTAAGGCCACCTATTGACTTCATCACTGTGGGGAGATTTGAATCAAATGCTTCCTGGCTTATCTCTTCCACACTGGCTGTAATCCTATGCAAATTTAGCTGGGAGTAACTCCTACTGAACTCAGGGGGGCCTACTTCTGGGCAGACATGTATAGGTTTGCACTGCCAACTGCCAAGCTATGATATCTCTATCTCCATGATTTTGTGACTGTGCTGGAAAATATCGGCTAACTGGTTTGAGTTTGTGTGACATCTTTGTTCTTTGGTAAAATCAGTCCAAGCCCCCAGCGTTTTCTTGATCAAATACTGCCTCCTCCTCCTAGCTGACAAGAAGTTACATGCTGAGATGGAGAGATAGACGAGGCAAAATGGGTTCGAGCAATCAATATGCTTTGCTAATGGAAGTGATGGAGGTTCTATTACTGTGGCTAATATTACTTATGTCTTTGCCAGCCGCAGACATTGGTCTGGTTCGCACATTAAACCATAGCTAAGAGCAAACAAAGCTTTAATGTGAGCATGCGGTGTGCTGCTGCAAAGGTCATGAGAGTGTTCCTGTTGTGCTGTGGACATCCAAGCCCAGGGTTGTGGTTTGTTTCTCTACCCAAGCAAAGCATGAACAGTAATCAGGGTTTGTTCCTGGCTTGCTGCTCATGATTTGGTTGGGAAAACAAACCATGAGCTCAGGTTCGGAGAATCACAACAAGCCAAGCTCTGGCTTGTTTCATCTGCAGTGCCACAGGAACAGAGTGAGACCTTTGCAGTGTGCAGTAGCAAATTGCACATTCACATTAAACCTTCATTTATTAATCTTAATTTGTTTGGATGATATGCAGGCTGGACCTGTTATGGCGGATTTTCACTTTAAGTATTGTGTACACACACCTTAGCTGACATGAAGGGTACTTTTATCTTTCTTTAAAATACTGGAAAGTAGGTGCCCAGTTTTTTCCTTATGGCTCCTTTTGAATATTTGAAGCGGCACACATCAAGTTTTGCACACTTAAGGCATGCTCATATTTTTGAACTTAGGTAGCCATGTTGTTGTTTAGTTGTTTAGTCGTGTCCGACCCCATGGACCAGAGCACGTCAGGCACTCATGTCTTCCACTGCCTCCTGCAGTTTGGTCAAAGGTAGCCATACTGGAGTACAAAATATTCATTGAGCATTGATATTTAGTGGCGTCTGAAATGACTTCTTTTTCCTGAGGTTTTGACAGCCCTACTTGATACACAATGCATCTGACTGATCAAAAAGAGGAGACTCAGCAAGCCAAGTACATCTGTCAAAAGGGAAAACGATTCCCAGTGTTTAATACCATAAAGTTGCTGTTTATGTTAGTTTAAAACAAGAATTCATGATTAACACAAACAGACTAGATGATTTAAAAACTGCCTGGCTGGTGTTTTGCCTGGACTAATTTCCCTAGGCCAGTTCCTGCTACATAGAGCAGGTGGGGCCAAGGCTGGTTAGACACAACTGCATCCATACATAATTTACACAGCATACAATATATTTAAAATAAAGAACTAGCTCTTAAAAAATAAGCATTTTGGGCAAAAAGGGAAGGGGGAATTTTTCTCATTAGTGATCACAAAGAACAGCATTTTACTGCCCCCTAGTGGCTCAGACAGTAATGTGGTTCCACCCCCCCCCCAACTCTAAAATACAACAGCACTCTGGTTAGTAAATATACAACAAATCCACATTTAAAAAATATATACATTTCTTTTAAAAAATTACAGTTTTATCAACGGGGGGGGGGGGGAAGGATGCATCCCAAATCAACTACTGTGAAATCCAAACCTCTTTTCAAAAAGGCTTAATGAACCTTTTTATAAAGTGCCACTGGTTGCAGCAATTCTTTAAAAAAATATTTTTTAGCACTAGTCATCAACCAGAGGATGACTAATCCACTTGACACTATGGATAAAAAGAGAGTCCAAAAAAATAAAGAGAAACTACATCTATGGCCAAGACACATTAATAGGCTCCATTGTAGCCTCTCGCTTTTTTCCCTTCGCCATTTGGATTTCACTTCCTTGCAAGTGGCTCAATGCTTGCCACTTCATGATTCACTACTAAGAAATCAAAAGCGATGCACATCCTGGCTCCTCCAGCAGAGCCCTTTCCCCCGTGATGCCCAGAGGATCTGTTGCCTTAACTTTAAAACTGCTGAGTTGCCCTGTCTGCCTCAATACTTGGGAAAAACTGGCAGAAGTTTTAAGTCTGTGATATGCATGGTCATCTTCATTTTAGACTTGAAATAAAACTCGCTTGGGAAGCTGCCTTCTACAGGGTCTGACCCCTTGGTCCATCTAGCTCAGTATCACTGGCAGTGGCTCTTTCAGTTTTTGCCAGCCTTACCTGGAAATGCTGGAGACCGGACCTTTCTGCATGTGCTGTACTGCTCAGCTACAGTCTCTCTGCCATATCAGTCATGGACGAGTTCTAATCTGCCTGCAGCATGTAAGCAGCAACTATTACACTTTACTTTTCCCTTCTCTTCCTTCTGTAGGCTGCCTGATTGGCACCACCTTGGGCATATTTACAAAGGTGCTACGTAAGAGCCCCCTCATCAGAGTGGAACTGTCCCTAGGGAGGAAGGAAGTGGAATGCCATGGGGTTGCAATTGGGCCCTTTGTCTGCTGCACTCAGTTGTTGGTAGGGATGGGCTCACTTTGGACAGGGAGATGAGTTACAAGGAATGGTCTTTGGAAAAGCAGTTTCATCTTATAGCCCAAATGCTGTCTGCTTTAATTTCTATTTTAAGAATAGATCTACATGCTTCGTTCCCTGCTGGAAAAAGGATAGGGAAGAGTATTTGCAACTAGGAAAAGTCACTTTTTATGCTACAATGGAGAGCATGTTCAGGATCCCTTGTATTATTTTTGCCACTGGAGGGTGCCATGCACTGTAAGCCACCCCACCAATCAGCGTTTTCCTCCCAGATTCTACTGAAAGAAAAAGAAATGGAAGACTATTTTCTCTCTCCACCAACCCACCCGGCCCATGCGATGAATGAGACCCGAGGTATTTGGGAAAGAAGGTCAAGTAGTTTTCAGTTCCCCTGAAAAGTGTGTCACTCTTGAGCTTATTTTACTTTTCTGGGAGCCACAGGCTGTGCCAGCTGCTTTTGGAGGTCGAGGCAAAGATGGGGCAACGTGCGGGATTTAAATCCACTCGGATTACACGGTCCTTCCTCTGCTGACAACGTTGGGAAAAGCAGCAAGGCCCTGTCTTGCTCTGGAAGCTGCCAGGCTTACCAATCCTGTTCCCTTTTGTCAACTTGGCCACATTGAGCCTCGGCCCCTTTGCGGATGTCACTGCCCTAGGGAAGCTGACACATTGTTGGCATCGTTTGAAATGACAAGACGCAGGAGTAGGGAATGGGCTGCTCTTTGCAAGAAGCATAGATGTCTGTGGTATTACGTGGGAAGGAGGCCAGGGTCCAAGGGAAGCTCTCAGTAGCCTCCAGCATTGGTCTGCCTCCCTTGTGGTTCAACGTTGCAGGCATTCAACCAGCCCTTCTTTGTAGCTTCAGTGCTGATGTGGGTGGTCACTGTTTAGAGGCCTGGCAAGCATCTGGTGCCCTCTGATGGAAACACCAAGTTGATGTGTGTTCACGCACTCTTGCCCCAAGGTATTTGTCCAAGAAATGGCCTTGGAGTGCAGTTGCCTCTGGCTGGAAGTTAGCACTCACAAGAAATCAGGAAAAGATGGTAAAGTGCCTGGAAGGAGAGGCCGATGAGTAGTCGTGGGATTTCTCCCCAAGCTGTCCACTTCTCATAAATGGTAGGGTAGAAGGATGAACCTGCATCATCATCAGAGAAGGAAGCCCGTCCTCAGTCCAACATGGCATCCAACTGCTCTGCAAGGTCATCAAACATGTTGCTGATGTCTTCGAGGATGTTCTTGGCCGAATGTGCTGTCCCATAGTTGCTGGGGGGACAAAGACAGGAGAATTGGTTCGTTTTGGGTGCAAGGTTTCAGACAAGAACTGACACCACCTCCCTCACCAGATCTGAAGTCCTCTTCCAAGCCCTCTCTTTGCTTGGAGGGCCATTTCCTGCACACTCTGAGCAGTCCCATCTCCCTGCCACCCAAATGGCTTGCTAAGGCCTGCCTGTCTCTTGGTAAAGGCTGGGAAGCAGGAACATAATCCATCCCATTCTGAGACAGCCATTTCCTGGTGCAATACAGGGTACAGTGCTACCTCTGGATATGCACACCACTGGCTGCATATCCTTCGGGTTACGCACACAGCAAACCCAGAAGTATTTTTTCTGGGCTTTGCAATGCGCGCATGCACAGAAGCGCTCTAACACGTGCACATGCGCAGAACAGGCACCTCCGGTTGCAAATTCCTCGGGATCCGACTGTAGCTCCGGAATGGATCCTGTGCGCAACCAGAGGTACCACTGTACTAGTTACTACTTTTAAAGGCTTTCACCCACCCCGCAGCACCATCCACCATATAAGCCCAATTGCTGCCTATATTCTTCCTGTTTTATATGCCCCCAGCACCTGAAGTGAGGGACACCTATGACAAGGGAAACTGCAGTTTCTCCAAGGCTGCAAAATAGCTGCCTGAAGAAGTTCAGAGCAAAACTTTTGTCTCTCTCTGGAAAAATGACATCCTCCAGATGAGAGAGGTCATTGTGGCCCAGCGTTGTGCCTGAGCTCATTTCATTTCACTGCTGTTTGGGTGGGAGAGTTGGTGGAGCTTTAGAGGAATGAGCAACACCCATTTGCATATGCAAGTCTTCACCCAGCTAGGGCAATATGTATGGAAGTCTGCTTGCACATGGTCCCTAGCTGGACCAAGGCAGATGTATCTGAAATATGCACATGCCCTCTTCATAAAGAAGAGGGGCCTTTGTATTCTGCACTTTGGATAAAGACCCTGAAGCATGCCCTGTTCAGGACAGGCACTCCTGCCTGCCCTCTCTTCACATCCAAGCAATGCCTCACCTGTCTGCCTCCTCTGCGTTGATTTTCTTTTCTGCCGCTTCAAGCGTGGATGCCAAGGATGAGTTGGTTTGTTCCAGCCTTTGCTGAGCGTGGATCATGTCCGGAGATGCACTCAAAGGCCTCATGGCGAGGGGCACCCCAAAACTCAAGGCGGGTTTGCTGCCCAGCCCCAGTTTCATGGGGTAGGGACCCATCCCTTCTGAAACCATCTCTGTGGCTGCCCAGGGAGCGACAGTGTTGCGGGAGTTCTGCAGGACTTGTTGGTAGATGGTTTTTGGCCCCGAAAACACCAGCTTGGTAGAAGCAATGGATGTGTGCTTGGCCAGGACATCTGAGGAGGGTAAAAAAACTTAGGTTGGGTATTCTGAAACCTGACCCATGCAGTTTAAGGAAACACAGCCTCGCTCCCTCTCCCCAAAGTGCAACCTCCCTGCCGGATCAGAAACAGCAGGCATTCCTGCCATTAACACTCTCCCAGTAAGTGTAAGCTGGAGTACTTCTACCCTAGCCCTTACTTCTGGATTTGCCATGCTTTATTCATTCTTGTTTCAAAGAGCATCCAGATGACATAATTCCAAAACTGTAGCCTTTCCATGTTTTCTGCAAGCGGGGGTGCAGGGATCAGTGACTTTATTCCTTTGAATAGCCCTGTATCAGTTCCTTTTCCTGCAGGAGAGGGCTGATTTCCTTTCCCCTCCCCCTCTTGGTAGTGAAACATCTCTACAGTTTTTTAAAGAGCAGAAATCAGTAATTAAAGATGTCCTGTGCAAATAAACGGACACAGAGCAATTCAGAGAGAAACTTAAAAGAGAAATGATTCTGTAAACCTCCAGCCAGGGTCAATGAGAAGGGGGGTGGGGCGTGCGTGCTAAACCTTCAAATTACGAACTTTTATTTGAAATATCCAGGCACCTTTTGCTGAATGGAGTAAAGATTATGGAAGGATCTTGGCCACAGGGAAGGACATTGCTAATTAATATTGTGCTACGTAAAATTTTATGCGCGATTTCCATTTCAATTCCACATCAAACCAATTCTAACTAAAAATACATGCTTAAGCATCGCTACCATCACTACACTGTAGGCACTTCCCTATCCCACTGGGGCTATGGAACCAAGTCACTCCGTCTCTTCAAGTGAGACTAAAGCAGCCTTGAAAATGGTGGGTTACAGCCCTCTCTGCTTCCTCGCCCCCTCCCACCATTTCCTCTCAGCCCAGACTTCTCTTCATAGCCTCCAGTGCCCTTTCCCCAACCAGAAGCAGCAACGGGGTGCTATCCCAGTTCTCTCCCAGCTGTGATGGCCCTGAAGAGCAGCTGGAACAACACTGTATTGCTACTACAGTGGTACCTCGGGTTAAGAACTTAATTCGTTCTGGAGGTCTGTTCTTAACCTGAGGTACCACTTTAGCTAATGGGGCCTCCCGCTGCTGCCGTGCAATTTCTGTTCTCATCCTGAGGTAAAGTTTTTAACCCGAGGTACTATTTCTGGGTTAGCAGAGTCTGTAACCTGAAGTGGCTGTAACCCGAGGTACCACTGTAACCCCAAACTCCAAGTCCATTCCCCGCCCTGTGAAAGGATGATGGCACTGCTAGCACATCTGCATTTCCTTCCTTTAAAGGCGGAGAGAGATACCACCATGTAGAAAATCTTTCTGGTTCCAGGAAAGTAAGCCACGGAGGCCAGATTTTGCCCAGCTGCCGCTCTGAACATTGCCTACCTGCCGCATTGGCTGCCGTCCTCAGATGGACTGCCCCTCCGTTCCTCTCGACCTGCAGTGGGATTGGGCTGGTTGGTTTCAGAGAGACAGGCGGCTTCTTGATCCCCCTTTCCAGAGACAGGATGCTCTTCTCTATCTCTGCGATCTGCAGCTCCATGCTGTCGTCATCAAAAGCGTCTCCCGCTGGCTGTGGCTCCGCCGGGTGGAGCGAGGGTCCGCTGATGCTGACCGTCTGAGCCTGGGCGTACTGTGGAGCCGAGGATGATGAGCTGGGCGCAGCCACCTCAAACGCTTTCAGCACGTTCTGGAGGGGCTCTCTCTCCCTGCACCGGGGCCGCCTCTTGACCGTGTCGGACTCTGTGAGGTTGAATTCCAACACTGCGGGGCCCTCTTTCGCTGGGGGCTCTTCTTGCTCTTCCCCATAAGGCCGAGTTGAGGCAGAATCGGACTCTGGCGCAGCGGCGTCTGCCTTGAGCTGCCCAGTGGGCTTCGGCCGCTGCTTGATGGTCAAGTTGCCCTCTTCCGCAAAGGGAATACACTCGCTGGAGCTGTTCTGAGACGAGCAGGGGGACTTGGCGCAGCCATCAGTCTCCGCTGTTGCTTCTTCCTCCGTGTCGGACCGGGTGTCCTCGTGGCTGTGCTGCAGAGCTTCCGTCATGGCGAGCGCAGGTTCGCTAAACGTCCGTCTCTTTCGGGGGACGTTGCCTTCAAAAGCCTGGCTTTGGCCACTGGCAGCTTCCGCGCTGCTGGGGTCTGCTCGGGCTGAATTGTGCAGGCCCGTCTTGCTGGCCGACTCCTGACCGAGACCGGTGGGTTTGGGGGACTTAAGAGGCTTGGCCAGGCTCCCGTCAGCCACAGGCCCATTGAGCACGGCTGCAGCATTTCTCAGAGAGCAGCCCCTGTCACGAGGGCCATCTCCTCCTCCGTCCTGGGAGAGGGAGGGTCCCTTTGGTGTCTCTTGGCCCTGTTCGTACTCTGCACCAACTTGCGCGCTGGAGACCGAGCTGAGGCGCTTGGGAGGCGGGGGCGGGGGGCCCTTCCTCCTGGCGCGGATGGCAAAGGACTGGCTGCGCGAGACCTTGGCGGTTGACGACGGCTGCGTCCGCGGCACCTGGCTGCGCCCCGGCCGCCTGGTCAGGGTAGCGTATGAGCCCACGGAGCTGGCGGGAGGCTCCTCTTCCTCGCCCTCCCCGTCGGACAACGCGTAGCGGTTCAAGCTGTGTGAGCGCTTCTTGTGCTTGAAGCCCTCAGCGTTCTGCTGCTCCGCCCCGGGCTTGGGGGGCACGTGTGGCGGCTCTGTGGGGCCACAGTGGGAATGGAGGTAGGAGAAAGCTTTCTGGGCTGTCGACTGCAGGATGGTCCTCTGGGCAGAGAAGGGAGCAGGGGCCTTGGCCTGCTCAGGCACGGACGGCGAAGGAGGCGGCGGAGGGGACTTCAAGGACACGTGGGGGTACATGAAGACATATGGGGCGGTCCCCTTGCTGGCCGTGTGGGGCGATGCACAAGGGGACGTGGCTGGAAATGTCTCGGGAGGCTCTGTGTGGGGAAGGAAATCCCCCTTCAGAGCGCTTGGTCTCTGGTACTGGTCCATCCCCTCAGGCAGATTTCTCTCCCTCAGAGGGCTTCCCGCACAACCGCTGGAATAGCCGTTGATTCCCTCAGGGCTGCTGAGCTGCGGAACAAATTTCCCATAGTTCTCTGGGTTGGGCCGACTCTGCGGGGCAGTGGAGTTTTCCGTGAGGCGGGGTTGGGTAGAAGAGTGTCCGCCGCTGCTGCCACTGCTGCTCTCGCCGCTTCCCAAGCTCTCCTGCGATCGGCTCGAGGTAGTGCTGTGGGACAGCATGTTCTCTTGGGAGTGCCCCGACCCCCTGGACCGCACCCCGATGCTCTCTTGGCTCCGCGACATGCCCTGGGCGCTCTTGATGGTCAGCGTCTCCTGGCAGCTGTTGGACATGGCCGTCTGGAGCTCGTAGCTCAGTTCGCTGTCCTGGAAAGTGGTCATCTTGGGCGTGTGGGGAGAGTGGCACTCCCCGTTCTCGACAGACTCGATGGTAACGATGTCCAAGGCGCCGGGGATCTTGCGCCTGAGGGTGCTGGTGTCAGCCTGGCTCAGGCTCTTGCGGAGGTCGGTCAGCTTCTTGACAGCCAGCATGAGCTTCTTCTGGTGGCCTGCAGGTGGCACAAAAGGAGCAAAAACTAAGCTCAGGGATTGCAGGAGGAAAACGCTTCTACTGGAAGACTCCAAGCACAAGCAAGGGGGAAGCTCAAAATCCTGTCTCATCCTCTCAGGCCAGTGCTTTGGAGGCAGAGCCTTTATCAGTCCAGACATTCACGTATAATGTAGACTAAAAGAAGCAGGCCCTGCCCAGACATAAAACGGGACCAGCAGGAGGCTCAGCCCTATGCCCAGTGTGGTGAAGAAGTTAGGGTGTCAGACTAGGAATAGAGAGACCTGGGTTCAAAACCCTACTTGGCCATGAAGCCCAGCTGCACCTACTTCACAAGGATAAAATTGGGAGTGCAGCTGTTAATATTATTATTATGAAGCTAATGCGTTGTCTCCTAAACTTGCTCCTCTAGCTGTTTTTGGACTACAATTCCCATCATCCCTGACCACTGGTCCTGCTAGCTAGGGATGAGGGCAGTTGTGGTCCCAAAACAGCTGGAGACCCAAGCTTGGGGAAGCCAGCCTAATGATAAAGATATCTGAAATTCTACAACCACAACAAACAGCACAGGTGGCAGTTGTTCTAACTCAGCCTTGCTTTAAAGTCTGGCTTCAGCCTTGCTGAGTTATTTTTTCAAGAAAGACACTTCCCCATTAAGCATGCCATGTCCCCTTGTGCTTCGAGGGATAACAGGCTCTTATTTGTCACGGACCCCAGTCCCCTCACTTCTGGGGCCTTCCTTTCACCCTGTCCATAAAAGGAACCGGCTGGCAAAAAGGTCACTTTCTACACCTGCATAGTATGATCTCTTTCCTCCACCCTTTGAGGGTTTTCTTGGGCTGAGGGGAGAGTGTATAAGGATGTAAAGTGATCTTTTTGTTACCACAGAATTCTAGACAAGGCAATGAGAGATGCTCTGAGGGAAGAAGGGGAAAGAGTAAAAGCAGGGTAAGCTGATGGGAAGGGAGTGAGGGAAGGAAGGTAGGAGTGGGCCATGGGAAGAAGACACTTGGCTGCCCCAAGTAGGCCTTGGGAGCAGCCGCCTGTTGTGTGCCCCCGATAACTTCTACGTGTGGCTGGTCGGGGATGGAGCCAGCGGGCATATTTTGGCGACACTTATGAACGGGGCTTGTCTTCCCCTCTGCCAAAACAGGCATCCAATTACCCTGGGAATTTGATTCACAGCCAAATACCTCACTAATTATTGCCTCCCAATAAGGGGGCATGGTTCCCCCTCCCCTTTTCTCCCCCTCTTTGTCAGAGCGGCCTTTTGGCAGTGAGCCAGTCTAAACTGGATGGCGAGGCCCTAACATGGGAACAAGTCCTTCCTCGTCAAATCAGGCCATGAAAGAAGGTGGGAAGGGAAACACGCAGTGGCGCGGGAAGGGGGGAGTGCCTCCTTTTCAGCGGGGGACCCTGCACCCCGAGGTTTTTGGGGAAGGGTGGGGAGGACTGGACTAAAAGCGACACCCCTGAGACGGACACAGAATGCTTCCCTCATGAAACGGGGGGAAACGGACAGTCTCCTTGCCCCAAGTCAAAACCCAGTGCTGCGTTCTGAGCAAGGGGAGGGGAACACTGCTGTCTTTGTGGGAGGAAACATAATAGATGGGTAGCCTCTATTTGAAATAAATAAATCACTGTTTCTAAGGGTGAGCAATCACCTAAGAATGCTAGTCAGCACACATGCGCCTGGGAAACAAACCAACCATGAGCATATTCTGGGTTAAGTACCTTCTTATGTGCAGGTTCAAATGGCCCTTGTTTGTGTGTGAGAGAGTGGTATGTGTGTGATGTTTCTGTATTTCCAGTCAGTGAAGTCAAACTGAGAGGGATCTGCTTTCCGCCACCTCACCTGGCTGGGAGAGGTTGGTGCACGCTGCACAGCTGCCCATTAACAGTGGGAAGGATTCCCCTTAAGAGTAGGAAATGTCCAACAGCACCAAGCCAGTGCATGGCCAAACCACGGTTTCCCATGTTCCAGGAACAAGGGCAGGGTTTGAAGAAAGGGCAAGCGCCTTTTCATTCCACATTTCACTATGGTAAGTTTGGTCTACAGCTCTCACCAGCCCCAGTAAAAAACATCTGGAAGGTGCCTGGTTTGTGAAGGCTCCCTCAAACAGTTTCCCCCAAACTTGGGTCTCTGGCTGTTTTTTGGACTACAACTCCCATCATCCCTAGTGAGCAGGACTAGTGGGCCAGGGATGGTGGGAACTGTAGTCCATAAACAGCTGGAGACCCAGGTCTGGGAAACCGTGCTCTATAGGGACATCTTATGGTTAGCCAAACACCACCAGCAGGATTATTCATGGGTGCCCCCAGCCAGTTTAAAGAGCCACCATAAATACAGCATCTTTGGATAGCTGAGCTTTTCTCTGCTGCACTGAGATGCAAGGGAGGCCACTGTATGGAGCTCCTTTCATGTTTATGTAGTGCAGGACTGAAACAAGCAGCCAGGAGTTCCCCAGTGGCCCTGTTGGTTTCCCCTCTTGTCCCCTCACCAAGCTTGTTGATGCCAATCTCCTGCAAGTCCTCCCAAGTCAGATCTGTCACAATGCTGATGGAGTCATAGCCGTTGCTCACCAGCTTCTTGTGGTACTGGGGTAGTCCAAGGGCACTCAGCCACTCCATTAGGTCATCCTAGAAGACAGTACAACCACGATGAGCTCTTACAGCAAATCCCACGCTGCTTTCCGCAGAAAGTTGCCCGAGCAAGTCTTTGGGAGCTTTATCAGTAAAGAGCATCCCACAGGCAGAAAGACACAGTTTCTAAATGCCATCAGCTCCACACATAGGCTTACAGCTGCCACCTAAAATATCTAGTGCTTATAAATGATGTCACAAGGATGAAATCTGGTAGTGGGGGAACGCTGTGTATGACACCCTGTGCTCCTTGGAGAAGGGGTAGGATAACATAAATGACACAATTATTATTATTATTATCATTATCATCATCAATACTTAAAGTGTCCCTGACAGAGAAGACTCAGAACCAGTGTTCGAAACTCCCATTGTTCTAGGCACATTTTGCGACAAGGAATTTCATTAACGCAAGCTGTTTTTGAGCTCTGGGTGCAGTACTGCGCCTAAGATTTTGGATTAAAACTGCAGAGTGGAAGGAAAGGAGGACCTTTTTCTGCCTCCCCACTTCTAGCTACTCCCTGGAGACTGGAGAAGAGACTCTCTTAAGAATATTAGGGGGATGGGCAGGAGAAGGACTAGACCGTGTGAAAAATGAACATAATTTTTTAGCTGCGCTTCATTCATTTTCAACTTTGTATTCTTGTTACAAAAAAAGTGCACCTAGACATTCTGTTGTTGAGCCCATAAGCTAGGTATAAGGTGCCATTTAGCTCCTGGCTTTCGTATCTCAGTTTCTAACACCCTTGTGACATTGCAAAGTTGCTCCTTGTGAAATTCAGAATGGACAAGGAAAGCCCGGGCAGTGGTGATGGCTTAGATTCTAATTAAGGTTCTGCTGGTGGGAGTGCCTAATAGGCAGAGTTCGCCTCATGGGATGCTCCCACCAGCCGAATGGGGGGCATTTTTTGGTCCATTTCCTTTTCCCACTGCAGCCCCTTTGTCCCTTGACAATTTGCTTTGGGGACCTTCTTGAGCAGCATTAGAGGCAGTGTCATAATAATAACAATAAAATTTTAGTGTAGGGAGAAAGGGGAGACTGGCTGCAGAAACCCAGCCAGAGAGGCGGAGTATAATAATAATAATAATAATGATAATAATGATAATAATAATAATAATAGGTGAAAATGCCACTTCTGTTGCATTCCAGTTCTCTCCACAAACAGAAGAAACTCCTTCATTCACTGAATACTAGTTAGCATCCAAACCTTTGTTGAGGAGGGGAATAAATAGTAAATTATTACGCAGCATATTATTATTTTAAAATGTGCTCCGCAACCACCCTCTGTAGAAGGTCACTGTTAGCTCCATTTCACAGACAGAGGTAGGGAAACGAAGACTTGGCCAATGCAACGTAAGAGGTTTGTGGCAGAGATGGTGCTTGAGTTCAGTCATGAAGAGTACGTTTTGCAGCCACGAGGTGGTTAGCTTACGAACCCCATAACCCTCTGAGTAAACCTGCCCCTTTGCCCAGGTCTTCAGGGCTCTGGGTTGCACCCTGATTCTGATTGACTGGCAGGGATGTAGCTGACAGGGATGTGGTCGATACTCACAGGGATGTAATTTGGGAGCCATTCGGCAATGCTAAGCTGCCCAATCTCGGCGGATATTTTCTTCCTGTGGCCTGGCTTGGTCACCCCAATGGCTGTGAGGTCCTGGAACGAAGAGTGGCACAGGTGCCTTCATTAATATCTAACAAGCAGGCATGTGTACTATGTGGTCTAGCACAGGATGCTTGATAAATCGTGTGCAGTGCACGTTCTGCAATGGCACTCCTAGGACAAACACCAGGCGGTTACGGTGCAGATGGGTGATGGCAGGGAAACCAAAACGTCTTCCTCCCTCCCTTTTGCTCAGCCCTTTCTGCTTCCCCATGCCTTACCTCCGGGGTCATGCGGCTGATGGTGGGCACATCGTAGCCCGCGTTCAGGAAGTTGGCTGTGTAGCCCTCCAGCTGGAATTCACTCAGCCAATTATAAATGGCTTCAGCATCCTGCAGAGGGGAGACAGAGAAGTCCCTTGTGTGGCAGTGGTGTGGACTGGGAAGGGCCAATGCACTCCTGCAATCACTTCACCACGGAGATCCGTGATGGAGCACTTGCACTAGTGCATCCTGAATGCATCACATGCCCCCATGTCACCACAACTGTTGGATAAATGCAAACGAATCTCCCTGAGATTTATGTTCTTTAATTGGGACTTGAGATTTGAAAGCTGGGAAACCCTCTGAAAAAATGGGGAAGAAACCCATCCCCTGAATTTTCCCAGGTTTTTTCCTGAGCCTTCATATCTCTGTTTAGGACCAATTCATCAATCCTGAACTTGCTGGCTCCACAGCGATCTCCTCTTCAACCCACTGTGCTTTTCAGCTTTCCCCCAATCCAATGCATATATTGTGGTAACCCCACATGGGACAGCATTCTACAGAGTCTTTGTGAGCACTGAAATAATAATGGAAAAAATAACACCACTTAATATTCAAATACTATAATTCTATGGTGTCAAAAGTGTTTCAGCCAGATAATACAGATTTCCTTGAGAATGGATAACTACCCCCCCTCCACACACACAAAAGCAAGAAAAATAATCCATAATTCATGCTTATAACAGTTTGGCAAGCCCAGCCAACAGCTTAAGTTTCCAGCTCATATCCAACTTCCTGCCTTCTGGATCTGCTGCGCTTACCCAGAACTCCTCCTCTTTTCCTTCTTTTGGTCCCATATTTTGCCACATTTTGTCCATAACCACTTCCCTGCCCATGGCTCTTTCAGCAGGATCTTGTGTGATCCAGAGCATCAAACAAATGCACGGTTTTACCATTAACTGATTCAAGCAGGACTGCTTTGCTCAACAAGCTGAACTCAGCCCTTGAGCCACGTATTGTGACCAGCCAGAAGCTGACAACTCCCGGAACTTTCTAACTGGGACCTCTTTGTTCCTTATGGAGGGAAAGGTTTTTCTATATATATAAAAATAAAAATCCAAATACCAAGCTTAAGGTGTTCTCTTGATAAAATTAACAGACATGGACAAATTCTTGCCCCCAAAGTCATTCTAAATAATAATAATAATAATAATAATAATAATAATAATAATAATAATAATAATAATATTCTTATTATTCTAAATGAGTTATCCAAATAAAAATAAGACATATACAGGGGCCACAGTACAGCATAAGTGGGGCATGCTGTAATCCACTGAGTTATTTTAATGGAAAGTGTGTCTAACTCTAGGATGGACTGGGGCAAGGTTGTTTTACACCGATGCCATTCAAATTTGTTTCCTTTTACAGGGAGTAGCCTGATGCTAGGACCCATAGGTGTATATATAAAACATTAGTTAGATTGATTACAGTACCTTCCCTTCCAGGAGCTGCTCTGGCCGTAGATATTGGTGGGAGAAGATCCTGTCGTTGGTGTTACAGTTGGAGAGGTTCTGGTGCCCCAGCGTCCCTGAAAGGAGCCAGAGCATGGTCACAGGAGCCTCAGACAGAATCAACGCAGGGCAAAATAACCCAGGGAAGCCTGTTCCTAGATACACAACACTTGCTTATTTCAGTGGGGCTCGTGTGGGTGCTGCAAAGCACCCTCATCAAAATGAATGAATGTATGAAGGCAGCGGCGGCACTTGTGAACAGAGAGGAGCGTGGGGAAATGTTCAGTAGCGGCCTGAACCTTATAAGGCATCAGAGTCTGCACACGGGGAAAGCCTTATAAGTGCTTGCATTGTGGGAAGTGCTTCTTCCAGACCACCTCCCTCCTGAGGCATAGGATCAGCCACATAGGAGAGAAACTGCACCAATGTTCTGACTGCCCGAGAAGCTTAGTCTGGGGTTTTTTTGGTGGGGTGGGTAGTTGCTGTTGGTTTTTTGTATCATTATTTTAGATTCCGTTGTGATTTTGAGGAAATTGTTGAGTTTGGTTTTGTACTTTTTAATCATTCGTTTATTGTTTATGACTACGTTTGTTATGTTCCAGTTATGTGTTTTTTCATGTTGTAAGCCGCCTTGAGCACGGTTTGAACTGTGGAAAGGCAGTATACAAATAAAATTATGTACAGTCGTACCTTGGTTCTCAAACGCAATCCGTTCCAGAAGTCCATTTGACTCCTGAAACAGTTCAAAAACTAAGGTGCGGCTTCCGATTGGCTGCAGGAGCTTCCTGCACTCAAGCGGAAGCCGTGTCAGACATTCAGCTTCTGAACAACGTTCAAAAAGTGGAACACTTACTTCCGGGTTTTTGGCATTTGGGAGCCAAAACATCCGAGTACCAAGGCGTTCGAGAACCAAGGTACAGTGGTACCTCAGGTTAAGTACTTAATTCGTTCCGGAGGTCTGTTCTTAACCTGAAACTGTTCTTAACCTGAAGCACCACTTTAGCTAATGGGGCCTCCTGCTGCCTCCGCGCCACCGGAGCACGATTTCTGTTCTCATCCTGAAGCAAAGTTCTTAACCCGAGGTACTATTTCTGGGTTAGCGGAGTCTGTAACCTGAAGCGTATGTAACCCGAGGTACAACTGTATGTATGTATATTCACAGTTAAACCACAGGTTAATCTAGACTATTTTAATTTTAGTATAATTTCTATCCCATACCATCTAAAGGACTCAACAGTAAAATGGAATATCTTACTTCATATGTGAACTATACAGAAGCCAAACATCAGCCGCTACCTACTTAATGCTTCTGTTGGCTGTCAACTCAAACAGGAAGGTTGGGAAGGTTTCCCCAGAGATATTTGGGAAGAGCATTGCACAACTGAAGGGCAGTCACCAAGAACGCACCTCTCAGCACTCCCTTGCTTATTGACCCTGTCAGGCAGACAGCAAACCCCCTACAGATGTTCACCATTTTTAAAGTCCCTCTGCTTTCTATTTACTGAGTTTGCAATGTCAGTTTCAATCTCCCACCAGCCCTTTCGTCTCTCCTCTTACCTATCACGGAATTCGTCTGGCCATTGTGAGAATGCTGAAGATCCTCACCAGTCGGTGAAAGTGGCTGCATGAAAAAAGAAAAGGAGCCAAGACTCAGGTCAGAAATAAGACTGTACCAGAGAACCATGAAATGGGGGAACATTGTGACTTTTCTCTTCATGCTCAGCTTTTTTCATGCAGGGATTGTTTGCAGTTGACCAACTGAATGTGCCAAGGGTTAAGTGATGCTCCTCTATACTTAGCTGTTTGGGCACATAAATTCCTGCTACCCATATAGCCAAATTCTAGGCATGTAGGTCCCCACAGGCTATTTCCACCCATCCTGGTACCTGGACCCAAAGCTAGAAGAGTTGTTGTTTTAGTCTTTTCTCTATGAAGAAGCAAGGTTAATCTTGGGGAATCAAGTCATGTGCAGGAATGCACATCATCTTCAAGATCTGGGCGAGAAAGCGGAGAAGTAGCAGGGAGGCAGAACAGTCCTTTGGGAGAGGGGATGAGCACTCGCTCTGCACACAGAAGTGCCTTGAGTCAATTCCCAGCATCTTCAAATAGGGCTGGGAATGTCCTCTGTATGAAACCCTGGAGAAAGGCTGCCAGTCAGAGTCAACAATACTGAGATAGATGGACCAATGATCTGTCTGGGTAGAAGGCAGCTTCCCATGGATAGTGCAGCAGAGCTCTCTGCACCGTAACTCCCCAAAGACTGCAAAGTTCCTTTTCTACCCTCAATTATACAGAAATAGAGTGTTTTGCCTTTGAATAGTAAAGGTAAAGGTAAAGGGACCCCTGACTGTTAGGTCCAGTCGTGGCCGACTCTGGGGTTGTGGCGCTCATCTCGCTTTATTGGCTGAGGGAGCCGGCGTACAGCTTCTGGGTCATGTGGCCAGCATGACTAAGCCGCTTCTGGCGAACCAGAGCAGCGCACGGAAACGCCGTTTACCTTCCCGCCGGAGAGGTACCTATTTATCTACTTGCACTTTGATGTGCTTTCGAACTGCTAGGTGGGCGGGAGCTGGGACTGAGCAACGGGAGCTCACCCCGTCAAGGGGATTCGAACCACCGACCTTCGGATCAGCAAGTACTAGGCTCTGTGGTTTAACCCACAGCGCTACCCGCATCCCTTGTCTTTGAATACACCTGGATAAATCCCCGAGATGTCCAATTTCTGATTTAGGGGAATTGTACTTCCACCAGCACAGAATCTGAAGAGATATAGTACTAATTTTCTTTCAAGTTGCTGTAATAAAGGGGGCATGTGCTTGTAGCCCAACAAGCAAAAAATAAGAAATTAATGAGTTGATCTCTTTTCCCTTGAGGAGAAAAAAAATCAGCAAGCAGGGTGGGAGGGAGAGTATTTAACTCAAAAAACAAGATTAAGCGCATCCCTTGCACCCAACACAGCTCTTATCAAATACACAGCCCACTGTGGCTTAGAGAAGTCTGAAACAAGACTACATTACAATAAAAAAGTGGGAGGCTATTCTCACAGCTCATCACTTTTCGTTCTAAAGAGAATGTTAGATTTAATCGCCTGCTTCCTTACACCTTTGTCGTTGACTGTATGAACACCCTCAGTCTACAGGCAACTAACCCATGTTAAATGAACTTGGGGATGTGACCCAGGAACAGGAGATAAGAAAAACTGTGAAGACTGGGGCGTGGCAGCAGTAGGGTGAACAGCAGGTTTTCATGCCTTGGTGCAGAGAAATCCGTGCCCCTTTTACCTTGACATTCTCAATGAGGAGTCCAGTGATTTGCCCATTGGTGCCCTCAGTACTCTGACCGCTGCCAGCGCTCCGGATGCTGCCAATGCTGCCCTCGCTGCCCACACTGTTCCTGTCACCTGCTGCTTGGGAAGAGAGGATAGATTTTGGCATGGGGGTAGTAAGGAGGGAGAAGAGCCCAGTTGGCCCTCAAGCATTAAGCAGGCAGGCAAAGGTAGGACCAGCACCCCATCACAGATTGCTCTGCGGGCTTTGCCACAGAGCACCCAAGCAGGCTTCCCTGGCTGCCAAGACAGGTCACTTGGTATCCGGTTGAGGCATTTCAGTCACGGCATGACTTTTTATTTCCTGTAGCAACATCCAGCTGTTGTGATCCTTTCTCCCACTCCCCGCCACCCAATTTCGATGGGTGAGGTTGGGAAGCAACTTTTTAAAGAAGCATCTAGCAGCAGCGGTCCCTCTCATACAAGACTGACTGGGGGCGGGGGAGGGAAATGTGACCTGGGAGGACACAGCTAGCAGGCAAGTTTGCATGAAATGATGGGGTGTATTGTTTGTGCAGCACGGAAGGTACCTCAATGGCAGATGTGCACAAGAGCATGGAAAGAAGGCGTAATCAGTGGCAGGGATGTGCATACTGATGGGCTTATGCTTTGGGGGAGACTGGACGCTTGCAGCTGGTAGGCCTCAATGAGCTAAAATATGAACTTAAGGTGTATGCAAAAGCAAGGCTTTACCTGGATGAACACATGCCCTTTAGGCAGGGTTTATCAGCGACAGGTGAGAACAGCCCACTGGCCCTGGAAAAATGGTGGATAGCTACTGGGGAGGGGGGGCAGTGGTGGGAAGGGGCAGGAGTGAGCATACATTAAGGAAGGTGGACCCTGTGACAGAGACAAAGATGTGTAGCAGAGCCAGTTATAAATCACTGAGAATTTTGCAGGAGGGAGCTGGGGTATAGCAGTGCCACATGAAATTTCCAGAGGAGGGATATTTCTCTATTTCGCTCCCCCCCCCCAGCAGGTATCTGTGTGAGCGTATGTGTGTGACGAGAGAGAAAAAGATTTCAAAAGATATTTACTTGGGTTACAAATGTGTGAGGAAGAGGGTCTGGTTACACCTCCACCCCCAGCTGAAATCATATCCCTTTTCACCTGCTACTTCTCTCCATTCCTTCTCCCCAGCCCAGAGTTGTCCTCACTCATTCCCAGGCAGTGTGAATGGAAGACACGCTTGCCCAGCCCAGCAATGGCCCTGACCTGGGCTGTCAGGAGTTGGGGCTGTCCTGGTCAGGGCAGGTAGGCAGAGGGGTGCCTGCGGCGAAACGGGTGGAGGCTGCAGCCCACTGGGAGGGGTGGCAGTGGTAACCTGCTGGCCCTTGGCAAAGCTCTGGCACGGGGGCAAGGGCGCCATGCGGGGAAGAGTCAGGCCTGCATGTAGAGAACAAAACACGCGGGTCAGGAAAGCGTGTGTGTTTGTGTAGGCAAGGAGAGCAACTGTGTGGTCCCAGAAGCACTGCACAGCACTGGGGGCTACGGGGAAGGCTGCTGTAACTTAGCTGCTCATGGAGCATGTGTGTTCACATAGGGGCGATGCTGCTGCTGCATTTTAAAAACATACAGAGGGACAGAATATCGGATGCTCATTCGTTGGCCAGACTTTTTCCTATAAAAGAGTCTCTCAGCAGTCTAGGATGAACATTGGCAACGGAGTCAGAGGAGCAAGTGCAGAACTTTGTCCTTCCTTCCCTGGTTTCTTCTTCTAGCCTACATAATAGGATTCCCAAAGTGCTCTACCCGGTTCTTTAGTTTCACCAGTTCATAGTGTCTACGGCTGGAGAAAGTCAAGAGAGCTCAAGGTGGTTTCAAAGAGTTACTGCAGCTTACGATGTGAATGGTCATCTCATCACACTTCCGCCTCTGGCAAACAAGCGTTGTGTGGCTTTTCACTGTTTCGAAAACCTGCAAAACCTGTTTGACCAGAAGGCGGCAGTGGGAGAAAAGAAATGTGTGTCCATGCGTGTCGTTTCTGTACGCACGCCGTGAGAAAAATAAATACACCACCTGAACCAAGCATCTCTTTAAACAACTTTCAAGTCCCTTAAAAACTACCTCCAGCCTCCAACCTCAGGTGGCCTGCAGTAATTATACACCTGCAAGGAAAACTGAACATCTGCAGCATCCATCCATGAGCTGAGGATAATTACTTATTTGTATCCAATCAGAAATCACATGGCTGGCCCCCAATTTAGCTGCATCCACAATTCAGTCAGTTTTGAGGAACGAGGGTCTACATTTGTTCCTGGTTAAGGTGGGATCTGAACACCTTCTAGAAAGAAAGGTGTGAAAGTATTCACACCTTTAACTCCCAGGACTACAGCTTCCTATAACCATACAGACACTGCTTTGCTAGGCTTCCACAGGCCACCTGCATATTAATAGTCATAACAGTTTATGTAGTTTAATACATTTTAAATGTACTTTAACTCCCATTCTTCTCTTGCTGAGAAAGGAGCAGGAGCGATGGGATTCCCCCTATTCCTTTTAAAGAGGTTCCTGCTCTCTCTGTTGCAAGAGGTCCTCCATGTTATCCTTTTCAGAAAGCACGGCAGAAGGGAGCCCCTTTGGATATTCTTATATTCACGATCTTCCTCCTGCTAAAAAAGTGGGGAGCTTCCTCTCGTGCAAAAAGTGTGTTTGAACAGTACTGGGCTGGTGGTGGGAAACCATCGTGCCCTAAATAATCGCGTCTCTGGTGCTGTTTGACTTGGTCCGTGTGAAGGCAAGCGTTGGCAGAGAGAGGTCACTGTCATTGAGTTGCTAGGGTAGCAAGTGGCGGCGATGATAGGAGTTATTTTTGCAGGCGGGGAGAAGACAGTGAATGAATGGGGTTTACTGGGAAATGAAATCACAGGTTTTCCTACTCCCTTTGCAGCACCCCCCCCATCACATCTTTGGCCTCCTCCAGAGTTCCCAGTTGTGTTTGTGGACCAACCTGTCCGCTTGCTGATGACTTCGACAATGGATGGAGGGAAGTAACCAACTCTGTCGGTGCCTTTCTGAGAGTCATGGATATGACCCTTCCAGCGTCCGTCTGCATGCTGCTCCAGAACCTGGTGGGAGAAGAGTTCTCATGATCAGTGGGACTTGGTGGATACAGGATGGCAGAATCAGGAGGTCGAAAGGGACCACGGGGTTAATGATATCTAAGCTCTCCACAAAAGCAGGGTTTTGTAAAGCTGGTGTGCAGCACAGTGGCTTAGCGACTGAGTTACGATGGAGGAAGCCCCCTGTTCATATTTCAAGCCTTAGGGAATTCATTCTCTTCTTACCTAACCGCCCCCCCCCATCTGCAAGATGAAACTATAAATACAAGGCCTACATATTATAGGGTCACTGCATGCGATGAAGCGCTTTGAACATTCTAAAGGGGAATATAAATGCCAAGAATGATTATGATTGGACCAAACTTGTCTATTCAACCATGAATAGGACTAGAAACTTGTTCAAAAAAGGAAGAAAACTAAGCTGAGCTTCTCATCTGAATTCAGTGCTTGTGCTTTTTTCTTTGCTCCCGCAGAACTCTGGCATGCACACAGCTCTGTCAATATATTATACCTCCCCTATCCACTGTAATTTCTATTACTTTGTGAATCTTCTCTGTTTTGCCTGCATCCTTCTTTAACTCTCTTGACCATACACAAAATCTGATTACAATAGTACTTCTACTGCCTCCTATATGGTAGAGATGATTCTTCTGTTTATACAAGCTAGGACTAGGGATGGAAGAATCTGTCACTTTTGATTTCTCTAAGTTTCTCAGTTTTCCAAACTCAGGTTCAGTTCAACACATTAATGTACCAGTCTGCCTTGTTTTTTCTTCATTTTTTAAAAAAGCACTCATTAAAATTAATCAATTTTTAAGAGCTCATTATCCCCAATAGATACATTTTTGCAAGCAATGTCCTCCAATATAATGGATTTTGTATGTTAGTTTCACCTATATACACATTTTTGATGATATCTTCCTCTGATATGTGCATTTTCACGCACCTTTATTTGAAGAATTGCACCATGAAATTCAGAGAAATGCGAATTTCAAAGCATAGCTGTCTCTCAGTTCACACACTGGTTTGGGGAAGTGGAAATTTAGTAGGTCTGCATTAAAATCATAAAGTAAAGGTAAAGGGACCCCTGACCATTAGGTCCAGTCGTGATCGACTCTGGGGTTACGGCGCTCATCTCGTTTTATTGGCCGAGGGAGCTGGCGTACAGCTTCCGGGTCATGTGGCTAGCATGACTAAACCGCTTCTGGCGAACCAAAGCAGCGCACGGAAACGCCGTTTACCTTCCCGCCATATCTACTTGCACTTTGACGTGCTTTCGAACTGCTAGGTTGGCAGGAGCAGGGACCGAGCAACGGGAGCTCACCCCGTCGTGGGGATTCGAACCGCCGACCTTCTGATCGGCAAGTTCTAGGCTCTGTGGTTTAACCCACAGCGCCACCCACGTCCCTTATCATAACTGGGCCCAATTTCTTCCTCAAACTCTAGTAAGCCTAACAATTTTTCAAATAGGTCACCGCAGTCCTAGCTGAGGTCCATGCATGGGATCACAGAACAGATGCAGAGTGCTGCCTCTTGGAGCGTTTCAGGAGCTTCTATGGCTTCTGCCAATCTCTTACCGTGATGATATCTCCGGCACGGACATTGAGAGCAGTTGGGTCATGGAGGTTCCAAAAATCCTTCAAAGCTCGGACCTTCAGGATTCCTGATGCCTCTGAAGACAAAGGGTAGTGGGAAGTGAGAAGGAGGGGGACAGAGGGGGAAAGACATGGGCAGGAAAATTAGCAAAAAAGGGGAGAAGAGGACGTCGTTACTTGCTGTGCGCTTCATTCTTCCTTTGCCCCACAGCCTACGCATCTTGGTATGTTGCAACCAGCCTCCCCTGTAGCTTTGCAATGTGGGCTCCTTCACGTTATAATTCAGTGAAAGCCAGGAGGCTGAAAACCCCCAAGTACCAACCCTGCCCCTCCCCAAGAGATTTCAGTGCTGACCCCCACATGCCCTTCACCAGTTTGCACCATCCTAGGGGTTTATTAAGATGGATGCCATCTGCTTCCTCCCCGCATTAGGGCCTAATGGGGATACTTCTCGGCCTGCTCACCTCGTAGTAGTTGCTTGATGTCCTTGCTGGCGTGTGAAGTGGTGAACTGGTTCACAATGTCCAGAGCTGTCTGGTTGTAGGTGTTGCGGATGTTGACATCGATGCCACCCTACCCACAGAGACAAAGTTAGCGGTGGGCTTGGAAACAGGGGGACAACTTCCTTGAGGGAACTTTTTTTTAAAAAAATCTAGGCTGGTTTCAGCATTTGAGTACTGGTATTTGGCTGAGCTAGTGCTGGTGCTAGTGAGATATTCACAAAACAAAAGAATTGCCGTGAAAATCCCTGAAATGAGAAGTAATTGACTATAGAGTTAAATTAAATAACAAAAAATGAAAAAGTTTAAGGAAAAATTAACCTAGAATTAAACAAGAGCAGTTTGTTTGATATCTTATAATGTTCTCTTAAATAAGGCTATGTTTAAAACTTGCCATTGAGGTTTTCATACCTTTTTTGTAAACTCAGGGAAGCGTTTCAGCCCTGCTCTTGAATTTGTTTGGTATCACTTAAAATCATTTAAGGTTTATAATTTCTTTATTTCCTTCTGAGGAAATTGATTAGTTCAGTGAAATGAGTTTTGTAGCCGGCATCTCGTTAACTCTTTGTTTAATTCTAGGTTAATTTTTCCTTAAAGTTTTTGATTTTTGTTACTTATTTTACCTCTATAGTCGATTACTTCTCGTTTCAGGGATTTTCACGGCAATTCTTTTGTTTTGTGTAATTACTTGGTTCCGTGACTGTCTTTTTTTCACTGGCAGCCTGCTAATAATATCACAGTCCTTGAGAGCAAAAGCAGGCCTGTCTTTACCCAGAGACTGCCTCCCCACTGTCTGAGAAAAGGTTAAGCTTGCAGAACAAAGTAGACTAGGCCAGTTATAGAGGGTCGCGTCACACAACATGCAAGGCCTCAGATTCAAAACACAGGGAGGCCTTGGGTTTGGCTCACACTCTCAGCCTCAGCTCCCTATAAGGCAGTCATTATCGCAGAGAAGGCTAAATAAGTGCATTAAAAGTGCAAATGAAACAATAAACAAACCGATCAACCCCTGTATCTATTTCGTAACACTGTTTGCAGTCGCTTCCAGGGATGGGTGGTTCCAGAGTCACTCTGGCTAGCCTCAACACAAATGCTAGCATTGACTGGCTGGCCACATATTCGGCAGCCATGGGTTATAGGTGCAGACAATTGCATGCATGTTGGGCTACTCCATACGGGGAGGAATCATACAGTACTTCTTCACATGGCTACCAAACACTCAGTTGGTGTGCACATCCAAGTGGTGTTTGTGTGTGAGTGAGGCTAGCAGCTCCCTCTTGTGTACTTTCAGCACAGGACAGGTGGGTTGTATGACCACACTTCTTGTCGGACTAGAACTGAACCAGAGATTGGAGTTTCTCCTCAGTGCTATATATCACACCAAGCTGCAGGCCGCATTCTTTTCCTGCCTCGAGTGACAGAGCTACCACGCTTTTCTACACAGCGTTTCCTCTCAGAACTGACCCACAGATAGCCCAGTGTCTCCTCTGTGGGCTCTCACACCCTCTCCTCTTCTTTGTTCTCTATTTCTGCCTCGGCTCCAAGGCCTGTGGCCTCTCCAAGGGCAAAAGCCTTTTGGTCACCAGGCAACCATTCCCCAGCCTTGACTACGGCTTTACTTTTAGTCTCACTTGCAGCAGCAGGCGCACCACCTCGGTCTTCCCATACAACGCTGCTTCATGCAAGGCAGTCCCCGTCTTCGTCTGTTTGTTGATCTCAATTCCAGCTTTCAGAAGTTGCCTGTGAGGGGAAGGAATATATAAGCAAGTCAAAAGATGTGACTGATTGCTCCAGAATGAATACCCAACTCTTGATCCTTACTGTGTGCCATCGGAGAGGTTGGCGTGTGTGTGTGTGTGTGTGTGTGTGTGTGTGAGAGAGAGAGAGAGAGAGAGAGAGAGAGAGAGAGAGAGAGAGAGAAGGATGGCTGGCAGGTGGAGGAGATGATCAGGGGAGCTATCTGTGTTGCAAGAAGGATTAAATGGCAGAAGGACACTGTGGGTGTATTTACCCTGTAGTTTAGTCTAACGTGCTAATTTAAGACATAACCCTACTGCTGTAGGGATTTCACTTGATCTGTGGTAATTTGGTGAACAGTAAGTTCAAATGCTTTTGTAGAGCTAACATTTAATAGCTGGTTGGCTGGTAATTATGGCTGGTGAGAGAATGCTTGAGTGTCAGGCTTGGATGTTTAGGATTGCTAAGGATGTGGAGTCTATTGTATTTTTATGTTTGATTTCTGTCTGTAATGTTTACAATAACTTCTAATTTTCCTGTTAACTATTTGATCTTCATCTATAATGTTTTGCTTTGGTATTTTGTAATGCTTAGGTTACAACTTAGGTTGTAAACAGCTTTGAGATTCTTTTTTAAAAACAAACAAACAAACAAACAAAAACAATAAAGCAGTATAGAAATAATTGGGGGGGGAGTACTGAGCTAGATGGAGTGATGGTCTGACTATGTTTGGTCCTCTAGGAATGAATTTCCATTGTAAGCACAGTATTCTCTGTATTTCTTTAATTCAGGGATAGAAAACCTGCAGTCCTCCAGATGCTGTTGGACTACAACTCCCAGCATCCCTGACCATTGGCCATTACTGGCTGGGGCTGATGGGAGTTGGAGTTCAACAGCATTTAGAGGGCAACAGGATTTAGGAAGGCTCTGTAGCTTCAAATTCTGATGCCCCATGTGGCACATAAGGGGTACATGCAGGAATGGAACAAATGAAGCATTTGCAAAATAGGGTGCTGCATGAGAATATAAAAGTAAGAATAAACTCAACACACCCAAACTGCACTGTAGGGCATGAAATAGATACGACATTCAAATCAGAAGCTGAAATCTCAGGAAGGTTAAGCTGGGGAGCTAACAGATGGAAATATCTGAGAGTGGTGTGGCGCATGCTGGCACCTTGGGGAACTTGAGCTGGCACATGTGGGCTGAGTGAGGCAATTGGCTTCTCCCTGCACTGGAAGTGCCCAAAGGACTTACCTGATTATCTCTTTATGCCCGTTCTTGGCTGCCAAATGAAGAGGAGTGGTGTAGTTAGGGTCACTTGTGTCTTTGGATTGTCCCTCGAGCAAAGCCACACACATGTGGCTGTTCAAAAGCAGCTGGGCCACCTAAAGTAAACAAAAGAATGGAGTGACAGAAGGAAGCGATATCAGACGACTGACAGGTGAGTGATCTCACCCACCTGTCGAAGTTGGCCTGCAAGGTTACAAGGAGACAGTGACCAAGCACGACTGAAATCCCCATGGATCAGCTGATCTGCTTTCTGCAGGTTCAGATGCACCTGAAGAGATCTTGTATATCCAAACTAAGCAGAATTGTCACACACAACCCAGGCGTTAGACGATGTGTGGGGAATTCAATCCTGCTGTGTAAGGAGCTGTTGATCCAGCTGTGGGCCAAATGGGAAGGTCCTGTGGGCCAAATTTCATCCGTAGCTGGAAGTTCTGCATCCACACCAAGTGCTTTGAAGGAGCCACTTCTCCTTTTCCACCACGGCGGACAAGAAAGTGGGTGGGGTTGTGGGCAATGGATGGATGACACCTGCTGCATCTTCGCCTTGCTTCAGAGCTCTCAAAGAGGCAGAAGTCCTGTGCCTCTTGGCACAGAGTCGGCCTTGCTATCACTATTGCCTCAACCATCTCTTTTGCAGGCAGAAAGGGTACAAATGCAGAGCCCAGGGCTGCAGACTGGAAAAGGCCGCTACATTGGGAAATAGTTTTAACCTTAGGGAACTTTGGGTTTGAGCTGGCCTTGCCCGCAGGGAACACCTACACACCTACACAAACAAAGTGGAGCTGGTACTAGAGGCCTGCTATTCTTTGTTACGCTGACTTGAGATTTATCACCCTATTTATAGCCCATTTGTTATAAAAATGGACATTGAAGCCACCCCCTGTCTTGGGATGAGAATAGAATAATGCCATTCCATTGCCTCCCTTTGGTGCACGTCCCTTGCGCTAATACCCACCCACCCCTCCTGTCTTCACATACATTTGCTGCCCTGCCCTTTAGGTTAGGGGGAAGTCCCCCCACCCCCAGGAATTCTGAGCAGCCTCTCTGCACCTGTCTTGAATAGTGGAGACAGGAATCCACCGCTAGCTCTGCCAGGTTGGAATCCCAGGCCTTCTGGCCCAGCTGGCCTTGCTTTTGCCTCTGCAGTCTGGAGGGATTAGCAAGGCTCAGGGCCTGTCTGGCTTCTGGTGGGAGTGGTGGAGAACAACTTGAGTATGAATGCAGTGGGAATGGAGGTTCCTGGGTGCTGCGTTATGTCCCAGTGCCATGGCGAGGCCTTACACAGGAGGTATCCCTCCACAACCCCTGGGCCTACTCACAACTGCCTGCAGCAGCGTGATTACCAAGAAAGCCATTCTTTGGCATGGGGCACAGGAAGACCTTTGGAGATGTATGAAGACTCTATAGCAGCAGGAATGGGGAATCTGACTGTCTCCATTGGACGGAGGAGAGAGAGGAGATATGGATTTGTTGAGATTACATCAGCCCAACCCCGCCTGAAGCTGGAGATAAGAACAGTGAAAGGGATAGGGTGGACCACAGTGTATACCATTTTGACAGCTTCTGAGACTTTCAGACAGAGAAGAAGAGATATGGATTATATTTATAAATGATTTATTAATGAGCTGGTTGTATGTAAAATAGAGGATTCAATTTCGCGAAATGTGAAGGGTGGGTGGCGCCAGGAGATTGGCAGTGTTAGGGGGAGGGAATGTATATTATATATTTATACACACACATAAATTATAGGGGTTTCTTTTTCACCCTCTGCATGCAGCACCGGTGAAGCTGAGTTGTTTATTACTGGGGCCAGATGTCATACAGCAATGTTCAAGGCCATGTTAGGGAGGAATGCATGCATGTTGTCTGGGAGGAAGCAGAATCTGTTTCTCTCAGGCAAAGAGTTACTCAAGAGGTATCAGAAGGAAATGTTTCAAAATTGATGAATGACTATTATAAAAGATTATTTACTCTAATTGACGATTATGAGGACAGGTTATAACAACGTATAAAAGCCATAGCAGAAACTGGTAACTGTACAGGTGATGTGTAGAGAGAAGTGATGAATGTATTTTGAAGGGACAGCTGGAAAAGTTATTATATTGGGAGCAGCAAAGGAGGGAGGAAAATAGAGGGGACATCGGGGGTGGGAAGTCAGCTTTTAAATTTGTACTGGAATTTGTAGTGATTTGGTGACAATTTGTTAAAAATTGTGGAAAATCAATAAAAATAATTTGGGGGTGGGAAAGGTATGGGGAATCTGAGGCCCTCCCACTGTTGATGGGCTTCAGTTCCCGTCAGCCTCAGCCAATGTGACCGACAGTGATGGAATGATGTCAGTTGCCGCCATCTTGAGTTATGATATTGTTCCACCCTAATAGCTGGGATGTTCCTTCGCAGCTGGCTTAGAAAAGTTCTGCAGGACAGGATGGAACAAAATAGTTATACTCTTCCTACATTACTGCCAGCAGCTGTGGAAACTCCTGCTGTGCCAGAGCACATTATCATTTCCATCATCCTCATCCTCATCCTCATATTTGTTAGTCCCTTTATCTTGCAACCGAAGGCAACCCAAAGTGGCTTACAACCAAATAATGTTGTCCGTGGTAATCATGTCATTGCAGGTAATTACTACTACAGTGGTACCTCTGGCTGCGAACGGGATCCGTTCCGGAGCTCCGTTCACAACATGAGCAAAACGCAACCTGCATCTGTGCGTCTCGCCACTTCTGCACATGACGTCATTTTGAGCATCTGCGCATGCGCGAGCGGCGAAACCAGGAAGTAACCCTTTCCATTCCAGGACGCAACCTGAAAAGATTTAACCCGAAGCGTCTTTAACCCGAGGTATGAGTGTACTACTAAAATACACATCTCAGGTGTCAAAGGTAAAGCCATGTGTCTTCATCATTCGCCAAAAGCTATGCAGTGAAGAAGCTGGACGCACCTCTGTGGGGAGGGAATTCCACAGATATGAATCGTTGTGTGCATTCATTTCAATGGGTCTCCGCTGAGGAGCAGTAGTGTTGCATACAGCCTGTTGCTCTCAACTGACTTTCTTGCTATGGCTATGGCTGCTTCTGCTTACCTTTAGCCTTCCAAACTCACAGGCCAGGTCCAGGGGGGTTTTCTTTGCTTTGTTGATGAGGCATGGGTTGGACTGGTGCTGGAGCAGCATCTCTGACTGCAGGACAGACAGGAAGAATGGAAAGAGCAAAGTGAAGCTGGAAATGCTTTGCACATCTTGCTTCCTCCGCAGAGCAAACCCAAAACCCTCGTACAAGACGGCTCCTGCCAGGAACCCAGAGCAAACCACTGCCTCTGCTTCTCCTGCAGCTAGCTGGCCTAATCCCTGAGGTCTAATCCGTATCAGTCAAACCTTTCCTAGACAGCCCCCAAGTTCTTCCCAAGGTTAATATAATACAAAAGTACAGGTCACCTTCTGGTATTTCCATCTCCCTCCCCTAGGAAAATGTCTGTACCATGTAATAAGAACATTGTTTTGGGGTGCACATTTTAAAAATCTGCACCTTTACTGTGATTCTGGTATCTGACACAATAAAATAAATAAAAATAAAGCAAGGTTCTAGCCCGTAGGACAGGGCAGAGAAGTAGAAAATATGTGGCATGTCTGATGAAAGCTCGGAAAATTTAAGCCTTTAATACCATACATATTCAGCCAGCTATTCCCTGCTTCCTCATCATATTGAAATTTAATAAATGTGCACTGCTGTAGTCATCAGAACTTAAGATATTTTTTATGTACAGCTTCTCTTTTCTGTTCTTTTCCTTTTCCTGGTGCATTTGATCTGCAACATGTACGCAGCTCTGCTTATGGGTTCAGCCCAGGATAAAACATCATACAGATACTTGCTGCTTCTCAGACCAAGGTGTTTTTATCCTCTCTCCCGCCTAGAAATTATGACAGGAGATGATTGAATGTGATCCATTACAGCTCCCGAGAAGAAACTCCACGGCTCTCTACTGCACTTCATGCTGGGCACTTGTGTTAATGTGACAGTACTGCACTGCAAGTTCAGCTGCTTTGTGGGTTGTGTGTTAGGCATGTTAGGTCATTATGAGGGCTCCAAGGTATGGGAGACCGACAGCTTTCAGACTGGCGCACCATGATCTGGATCTGACTGACAAAGGAAGTCTCATCTCTTCCCTTCCAAATGGTCCCCCACTCACCACCTCATAGTGGCCATATTGCGCCGAAAGGTGCAATGGGATCTGCCCATCCAGCGACGCCATATTGACTGAAGCAGCTGCTCGTAGAAGCAGGCGTGCTGGCTCCACCTTCCCTTGCCAGGCAGCGTAGTGCAGTGGGCGCATTCCTGTAGGGAGACAGAGACAGGCTGCATAATGTGGGAATGACTAATCTGTTGTTGTTTTTTATAAATATTTATTAAAGTTTGACAAATACAAGGAAAAATAAAACAAACAATAAAAAAGAGTTACAATAAAAAAGTAAAAAGAAAAAAAGAAAACAAAAACATTTTAAAAAAACAAAAACATTTAAAAAAGAAAAAGCCCAAATTTTCATGTCCTTATCTTTCATTTGCTTATTTCCTTGACTTCCTCACACCTCCCTCCTTGTATTCCAGTTCAGTTAGCTATTTCAGCAAGTTCTTTCCCTCTTTCTCAGAATTTAGTTCCATAATTCACCTCAACGCAATTTAGCCTTAAATTTACCCCTTGCCCATAGTCAATCTATTCTTACTTGATTCTTGATAACATTTCTACTAAAGCCAAATGATTTCTTTCCCACAACCTTCTAACCGTCATTAATTTTACAATGTTTCTGTAAATATACTTTAAATTTTTTTCAATCTTCTTCCACCTAATGACTAATCTGATGGGCACCCACCAACTGAATGTTCTGCAAACAACAGAAGACATGTTTGTTGTGGCAACTTTTCCTGGCTGAATAAAAAGGTTTACACCTTAGGTGTCCACTACCTATTGTTTTAACTCCTATTTTCAGTTGTTTCCTCCATACTTAAAAAACAACAACACTGTTTCAGCTGTTTTATGGAATGCTACTTAATCCCCTTAAGAAAGGTATAATAATAATAATAATAATAATAATAATAATAATAATAATAATGCAACTATTCGAACACAGAATGAGATGATCTGGGCCAAATAAGACAAATACACTGAGCACCCAGCATACAAATCTTCTTGCAGGGGGTGGGTGGGCAGGGGCTTAATGAGTGGCATTATTCTAGGTGGAGCAGAAGATGGGAGTTGCAACCTCCTGCCGATAACACTATTCAAAACTTGCATTTCCCCAAAAGGACTCTTCCCCAGCATACTGTTTGTAAAAGACAGTTTTTCCTTCATGAAGTGAGAGCTAGCATCAGGCGATTCCCTCACTCTGGCTTTTGAGGTCAATAACAGGGAGGTTCTTTTTCCTCCTCCTAAGAAAGCAAAACAACTCACTTACCGTTGATGTCCTTAATATCCACAGTGGCCTGTGCCTCCAGCAGCAGGGAGATAAGTTCCAGGCTTCCAACCAGGGCTGCATGATGTAGTGCTGAAAACCTGAGAAGTGGGGTGGAGGCAACATCCTTAGACAAAAGCAGTAGCAATTGACTTATTAGCTTAGAGCCCAGTCCAAGTTTCCTTATAAGGGTGTGGGTGGCGCTGTGGTCTAAACCACTGAACCTCTTGGGCTTGCCGATCGGAAGGTCAGCGGTTCGAATCCGTGTGACATTGGTGAGCTTCCATTGCTCTGTCCCAGCTTCTGCCAATCTAGAAGTTCGAAAGCATGCCAGTGCAAGTAGATAAATAGGTACCGTTGCGGCGGGAAGGTAAACGGCGTTTCTGTGCGCTATGGCACTTGGCATGGGTCCTTCGTACACCAGTAGCAGTTTAGTCATACTGGCCACATGACCCGGAAAGCTGTCTGTGGACCAACACTGGCTCCCTTGGCCTGGAAGCGAGATGAGCGCCACAACCCCATAGTTGCCTTGGACTGGACTTAACCGTCCAGGGGTCCTTTACCTTTACCTTAGGTTAAGACCAAGGCTTAGGCTGAGACCAAGGACAGCCAGAATGCTTTGCAGCAGAGTGCGGATTTGAAGCTGAGTGTCCCAGGCCCAGGGACTGCCAGTCTTTTTGGGCCCGCAGACACATTTGTTAACTGGAGAAACTGTTGTGGACCCCCCCCCCACACCAGTCTATTGGCTACAACTGAATGCTGCTTTAAAGCCTAATTTCACCAGGGCAAGGAGACCCTGTGTGGGCCAATATATGTCCATAGGCCCCACAGCCCAACACTCTAACCACCACAGCCACACTGCCTGATACAAGCTTCCCACATGGTGGGGAGTGTTGGTATTGCTAGGTTTAGCCACATGGTGGGTGGCTAGAGACAATAAGCTGTGCACAGGGTTACAGGTGCTTTGCTGTCAGCTTTTGTGCCATTACTGTGTGACTCTCAGTTGTTCAAAGTGGCCAGCCTGGCTCTGAATAGGGAACACAGGTAAAGGTAAAAGGTAAAGGACCCCTGGACGGTTAAGTCCAGTCTCTATTCAGAGCCTGATTTGCTTTTGAACTGCTAGGTTGGCAGGAGCTGGGACAGAGCAATGGGAGCTCACTCCGTCGTGGGGATTTTAACCACCGGCCTTCCGATTAGCAAGTCCAAGAAGCTCAGTGGTTTAGACCACAGTGCCACCCGCGCCCCTTTACCTTTTCTCAGTCTAAACCACCTTATTGACTTCCTGTGAAGATAAAATGGTCTGGGTGGTGGAGGAGCCATATAAGATAACCCAATATTCCTTGGGGGAAGAGAGGGAGATAAATACAATAAATAAAAACCCCAGTGGTTTTTGTAGCACCTGAAAGATGAATAAATTCATTATGGCATAAGCCAGGGGTGAGGCCTGTGGCCCTTCAGATGTTTAATATAAGATTGGGTTATCTTATATGGCTCTCCCAGCTCCCCAACCATTCTATCTTCACAAGAAGTCAGTTCAACCCCAACCAGCATGGCCAATGGTCAGGGCTGATGGGAGCTGCAGTGCAGTAACGTCCACAGGGCCACAAGTTAGCCACCTCTGCCATAAGCATTCATGGACTCCACATCATCAGGGGCACGAAGTGTTATTCTCAGTTAGCATCTACATGTACACTAAGGATAACACCATGAAGCAGGCTATAGGTCATAGAAGCTTATGTCATAATAAATTTGTCACTTTTAAAGAGGCCTTTGTTATTTTTGCTGCAGCAAGGCAAAAACAGATTCCCTTGTGGACATTAAAAAAAAGAAAAGTGGCCTGCATGACACTCCCAATCCTCTGAATCTGCTGAGGAGGGAACTCCCCACCATCTTCTTTCTCTAATGTGTCCAAGAATTTTAGCTGTGGTAAGAGTTTTTCCTCAGTGAGTCAAACGATATTGCTTCTACTCTACATGCTCTTCAACCACCTCCACATTCCTGAAGCTTTATAAAAATGGCCAATCCAAAAGAATGACCATCCTTAGGCACGAGAAGAAAAGTGACAAGCGTGAACAAGGCTAGGTCACTGCACATTCAGGGTTGTCCGGCTGCAGCTTGTCAAATGCCTTCCACTTTAAAGGTATGAAGTTGGCAATTTGATTTCCCAGCTTCCTTTCTCGGATCAATGTGTTTCCGCCCTTGCCTGCTCCCGAACATTTGGTATAGACATCTGTTGCTAAGTTTGGAAGAGGAAGTAAGAGCTATGAAACATGCAAGCTGATATCTCATACTATTGTACAAACTTCTATTGTACAAAAACAGGTAAGCTTTCTTTGAAGTGTACAGAGCATTCTGTTTGAGGAGGCATTTGTAATTCACGTTTGTGAAAGTTTAACGTCCATTACTTTTTTTGTATCTTCCCAGGTTTGTTAGACCAAAATGAAAGAAGCTGAAGTTTCAGGGTTTTTAAAAGATATTCTGAAATAACAGACATCTGCTGTTAGTTTACAAAGTCAGGGACAGCTCTTTAAAATAAGAATCCTGTCTTAAAATAAGTGAGATCTGGCATCCCCCAGTTCTTTGTGAGCTGCTGTTGTCTGCAGTTTTCAGGTGCTGGCTAGACAACCCCAAAATGCTTGACAACACATTTCCCTTTCTTACATTTCCCAGTAAACTAGAAGCTTACAAAACTTTTCTCTTTTCTTTTCTTCTCTCTTCTCTTCTCTTTGGAGACCTCACTATGTACAGTGGTACCTCGCAAGACGAATGCCTCGCAAGACAAAAAACTCGCTAGACGAAAGGTTTTTCCGTTTTCGAGTTGCCTCGCAAGACGAATTTCCCTATGGGCTTGCTTCGCAAGACGAAAACGTCTTGCAAGTTTGTTTCCCTTTTCTTAACACCATTAATACAGTTGCGACTTGACTTCGAGGAGCAACTCATAGAATGCAGTGTACATAGTAGCCTTTTTTGAGGTTTTTAAAGACTTTGGTGATTTTTGAAGCTTTTCCAAAACTTCTTTTGCAGCCATTTGGTAAGTGAAGCTTTTAAAACTTTTTTTGGCGGGGGGGTTGGATTTTGGGTTGGGGTGTTTGGAATTCAAGGACTTGGTGTTGGGGAGGGGTTTGCAAGAATCTGGAAGCTTGTGTGTTTTTTTCTGCATTTTTATGACTTTTTGTGACCATTGGGGCACTCTGCTTTTTTTAAAAAAAAATTCTGGGTTTGAATTTCTGTGTGATGGGTGGCTGGGGGAACAGTTGGGGAGGGGTTTGCAAGAATCTGGAAGCTTGTGTTTTTTTTCTGCATTTTTATGATTTTCTGTGACCATTGGGCCACTCTGCTGTTTTTTTAAAAAAATTCTGGATTTGAATTTCTGTGTGCTGGGTGGCTGGGGGAACAGTTGGGGAGGGGTTTGCAAGAATCTGGAAGCTTGTGTGTTTTTTTCTGCATTTTTATGATTTTCTGTGACCATTGGGCCACTCTGCTGTTTTTTAAAAAAAATTCTGGATTTGAATTTCTGTGTGCTGGGTGGCTGGGGGAACAGTTGGGGAGGGGTTTGCAACAGTTGGGGAGGGGCTGGGGGAGCTTTTCAGGCGATGCTTCGAGGTGACTGCACCACCATCACCCTGCGGGAATTCTGGAAGGACCACTTCGACATCGTCACCTGCTTGAAGATGATCACCACGGCCTGGAACGGGATCAGCCAGAGAAATTTGAATTGCGCTTGGCGCAGCCTGTGGCCGGACTGTGTGGCACCAAGTGACTCTGATGCACCAGAGTCAACAGTGGTGCAGGACATTGTTGCCTTGGGGAGGACCATGGGCCTGGAGGTCACGGAGGAGGACGTCTGCGAGCTGGTGGAGGAGCACGACGACGAGCTGACCACCCAGGAGCTGGTCGAACTGCAGGCAGAGGCTGCGCAGGAGCAGGCCTCGCTGGAAAAGGAGGAAGCAACTGAGGAACGGTTGTCCTCCGAAAAACTGAGGGACATTTGCCTGAAGTGGAAGGAGGTGCAGACTTTTGCAGAGCAGCACCACCCTGAGAAGCACGTGGCACATGACGTTGGGAACATTTTTGATACGAGGGTCATGTCGCCTTTCAGGGAGGTGCTGAAAAGGCGGATGAAGCAGCAGACTATGGACAGGTTCTTGAGCAAGAAGCAAAGAGTGGAAGAGGAGCCTTCTTCGAGTGGTCCCCCAGAGTCTTAGAAAATGCACTGTACACTTTGTTGATTTTTAAATGTTTTTCTGTCATGTTTATAAAGTTAATTTATTTTCCCTTCAATTTTTGAACTGCTCTTTACAGTATGTGTGACTTTAAAGAGCAGTTAATAAACTGTTGTTGTACCAAATTTGGCTTTGTTTGGACTTTTTTTGACCATAGGAATGCATTAATTGATTTTCAGTGCATTCCTATGGGATTTCGTGATTCGCAAGACGAAAAATTCGCTAGACGACAAAACTTGCGGAACGAATTAATTTCGTCTTGCGGGGCACCACTGTATACCTTTGCAGGTGGGAAGGTTCTCCTACCATTGTTCTGGGAAACACAGAACAATTTCCTTTCATCTTGAATATATTTTGTAATTGGTTTCATGCTTTTAAACTGCTTAGAAGCCACTTTGGCAATTAAGTGGTATAAATATAAATATGTGTGCATGAAATGATGCACACTCGTGCAATGAGACCTCTTCAGGGTTGCAACCCTCTAACCCTTTGGAGCACATTTAGTGGGTGCAGCTACGAAGTGTGGTGGGAGAGATTTGTTGTGTGAGCAGGTCTTGTTCTGTGCACACAGTAACTTAGTTGAAATCAATTGGTTCTGAGCAAGTTTCCTATTTGTGCCTCCCCTTTGTCTGGAATGGTATCAAACATATATTCTTTGTATGACAAGAGACGAAGTTGACTTCAGCAAGGTGTTTTATGTCTACTGATGCCCAGCTTATAGGAGTTCTCCTAATTCTTTTTTTCTTAAATAACTGACATGCAAGGAAAAGTTCTGCCAGCTTTTTTCATCGCTGCCCCCTTTCTAAAATGGCAGTATGCCGGTGCTGAACTTCTCCCTGTTTACGCAGCTCTTAAATTCACAAAGGCCCTTTTTGGAGCTGTGCTCCAAACTATGCTATTTAAGAATAGCATGGAAAGATCCATAAGCAAGGGTAGGCCTGACGAGTTTACAACTTGCAGGGGATGGAGGCGGGTGTGTGTGTGGAAGAGACACAAAACCCTAACACTGTGGTCTCTGGTCTGGGGACGGATAACAAGCTATTCCCAGACACTGTGTCTTTCTCCTTCCCTGTCCCACCTTTCTTAGCCTGCCTAGACTAATGGCAGTCTCTCTCCCAGCATGGCTCTCCTACTATCCTGAGTGTGTGAGGCCTGTGAGAATGAATAGACCCTGTGTTTCTGGCTTGTGAAAGAGGCTTGTTTATCCAGTCTCTCCCCCCCTCCTCAGGCTGCCCTACACACACACACACACACACACACACACACACACACACAGCCAGCTCCCTTCTTCCACTTGCTCAGTGCTGGTTCCATTCATTCAAGAGGGCTGGGGCAGGCTCCGAGCCCACGGGAACCAAGCCCCCATGGCAAGGGAAAGGCCGAAGCCTTCCAAGCAGCAATAAGGCTGGAAGAGTGTGGAGGGCAAGCTTAAGCCGCGAGCCCGACCCCTGGAACGGCTAGGCTGTGAGGGGATTGCCGTAGCGGATTGGAAGTGGTTGTCCCATTCACCTCTCAGAGCAGCCTGCCTGAATTGGAGGGGTGAATAATAGCAGCCACTTCAGGGCAAAGTACCAGGGGGAAACTCCCCCAGGGAATAATGACAGGACCCACAGGAGAGGTCTTTTCCTTAGCCGCAGGCAGCCAGCTAGCAGTCACCTCATGCTGGGCTTCTGCTGCAGGCCTGGATGTTCCAATTATCCCCACGGTAACCTCTCGGTGGGAAGAATGGGTCCTTGCAGCCAGGAGACTGAAAGGGCACGGTGCCCACCGAAGAGGCAGGCCCAAAGAGCGCCAATGAATAGGGTTTGGGAAGCTGTATTGCCATTTGCCTAGCAGGGGCGGGCAACATGTGTGGGTCCCCAAAGCACTTAGAGGCAGCCTGCCAGTGCTGGTTAAAATTCTCCATTTCATTAAAACAAACAATAAAAAGGAAACCTTCTACCCTATGGGGGCTGCAACTAAGCTCCATAATGCGACTGTCATAATACTACTGTGTTAGGGCTGCCACTGTGTTTCTCTCTGGCAACTACAAAACAGGCAGAAATTCAACAGGGGCAGTGGCAGGGAAAGCCTTACTTGAGTGTCATGTTGACATTCAAGGGAGAGAAGTTATCTCCGCATTGTAATATCCTTCGTTCTGCCTAATGGTTCTGAATTTTGCCTGTTCCAGGACTACAAAATGCAGTGTGGATGGAAAGATCTGGCTATAAGATTCTGATAAGCTTCTAAACCATATTTCCACCTAAGATTCCACCTAAACATTAGGAAGAACTTCCTGACAGTAAGAGCTGTTCGACAGTGGAATTTGCTGCCAAGGAGTGTGGTGGAGTCTCCTTCTTTGGAGGTCTTTAAGCAGAGGCTTGACAACCATATGTCAGGAGTGCTCTGATGGTGTTTCCTGCTTGGCAGGGGGTTGGACTCGATGGCCCTTGTGGTCTATTCCAACTCTATGATTCTATGATTCTATGATATTTCTTGGATACTCCCTTTATACAGGCGTTTATCTGAAACTGTCCTGGCTGGGAATCTGATGTACTCCTTCCTGGCTAGGACTCTGCCATGGGCCTGAAGTCTTGACAAAGCCCCATTCACTTCAACATCCATTTGGAAATCTGTGGGAGTTAGATGCAATGTCCCTGTTACAGTAATTGGCTGGGGGAAGCAGATGGGGTGGGAAGACAACCACTGGAGAGAAAACATTTTGCTGTACGTGCTGATAAAAATGAGGGAAAGTAATATCACTGCTATAGGAACAGAAATACAGGAACTTATACCACTAGTTAAGCAGCATAAGCTAAATTGTAATGCATGCTATGACCTTAATCCACTGTGATTGCTTGTCAGTGTTCTGGGATGCTACTGTACTTTTTCAAGAGTGGAGTTAGCAGAGAATATCTTTCTTAGCAGCTAAGGAGCAACTGCCTCCTTGAGTAGGTGCCTTCACAGCCATAGCCGGCTCAACCATTAGGCAAAGTGAGGTGATCACCTAAAACAACTGATTTGGGGTGTCATAAAAGGGCAGGACATGGTTAGTTATTGAATATATTATTATATTTTAATACAACAAGGGGGGAAGTACTTGTGGGATTTTCTGCCTCGGGTGCCAAAATATCTTAGCTGGCCTAGGATACCATGAAATTTAACTTGGGGGAGGGGTGTGTGAACCATTTGCTGTTCCACCTCAGGAAGCAAAATGTCTCGGCCTGTTCTTCCTTACAGCTGCAGTCCTGAAATTTTCTGATGTCTGCAAACTGTCTTATTTGGTGATCACTCATAGCCAAGTAAGATGGTCATCCATGAACACGGTCTTCACAGTGAGTCCATAGTGACTGTGGAGGCCAATTCTGGATCCACACATCCTTCCACAGTGGGGACATTGGTTTCCGGGTGGGAGTTGATCATAGTGATGGTTTGCCAAGCATGCCTTCCTCTTAGCACCTTTCTCCCTTTCGTCCTGAGTTCATGCGTCTTCAAAGTCCACAACACCTTTGGTAAAGGCTGTTCTCCAACTGGAGCACTCACAGGCCAGTGTTTCCCAATTGTCGACGCCTATACTACATTTTTTTAAAAAAAGATTTGCCTTGAGAGAATCTTTAAACCTCTTTTGTTGACCATCAGCATTACAATGGCGGATAAGTCTTGCAGTACTTTAAGGAATAGGCTTATTGGTCCATTCTTGGCTGTTGGATTCCTAGCATCAAGTGTACTGGTCTGTGGTCACACAGGGAGGCAATGACAGAGCAGAAGGACAGAACCCCCATAGTGCCCTGGCTTGTAATCGAAGGGGGCAGTAACTGTTAAACCTTTATCGCTTGTTCCGCAACACATTCACTGCTAGTCCCTCCAACCCATCCAACACTTTTGTCACAATTTAATTGGATTAGTACATACCCATCCACATCTTGGTAGTTCACATTCAGCCGTTTAGTTGATCCCAAGAGTTCTAGAGAAAAAGAACAGGAAATGTGTCATTTCAGGACACAGATGAATAATGGAATCGGGCTGAATACAGATTTTTCAATAAACATTCAGCAATGGCTGCAAATAGGAATCTGCTACTCTCCGTTCTTTAGAGACATCGGGGAGAAGCTATCTGGCTGCAAGCAATGGCTGGTTCTGTCAGAAAATTGTCTGCACAAAATGTAAATATTATCAGAAAAGCCACTCCGAGGGCACACACCCTTTGCCCAGTATCCTGTCTCTGACAGTAGTTTGGAACTAGTGCATTAAAAGATGCATCCAAGAAGAGGACAGTGATTGATTTCTGTCATAAAGGCTGGATTTGCTGTAATAGATGAAATAAGGAGAGATTCTCAATGCAGTCTTTCTCCCCCTCCCTGTCTCTTTTTGCATACATTAACAAATTTCCTTGCTTTTTCAGATAGTCCCAGGAACAGATCCATGGTCATCCTGCAAAAAATAGGTTCAGCTTCCTAAGAGTAATGAGAAATCCTAGGCTCCTGTGTCTGAATCTGTCTGCACACAGGAGAAGTTTCCTCTTGAACCATTCCATCTACTTGCAGAAGGAAGTGGACTGGTCCCTCTCCCAAAACCTTCAGACTAACCTTGCCGTGCACAGGACAGTGCCTGACCCATCCCTTCAGCCTCTTCTTCTTTCCAAATCCTTTAGCATTGCTTTCCATACACCCGTCTCCATGGGCACCAGCTTCATTCTTATCTTCCCCTTTCCCCAGCATAGCTGCTGCCAAAACATCCCCATCTCCAGAATCTGTTCAGTTGTTTATTCTACATCCACAGAACCAGGAGGCAAAAGCCTCTATCCCCATTGCTGTTGGGCAATGGGTCAGTACCCTCAAGTCCAGTCTGGGAATGCTCCCATTTATAGTCTGGTGCCCAGAAAAGTGCAGCGCTGGGGCATTCTGCTTCCGCCTCCCTGCAACTTACCCACTGCCAGTGAAAAGCCTACGGACCAGATGGCTGGCATTTTTGCGCCATAGTCAGGGGACGGCGGGTCCAGAGGTTGTGAATGCAGCAATTGTATTTGTCTGACATTCTTTTCACCTTGCCCAAGCTCCAAATTTCTAGATAGTATGGGGTCTGAGGAAGTCTCCACAATGAAGAGAGACATTCTGCATTTCTAAACCCGGCTGAATCAGTTTAAGATTCCCTCTGCCTTAGAGTGAAGCCAATTTAATTCTTTTCTTCCACATAATAACGAGGTCATTTATTTGGGAATTCGGTTGCAGAGTAACAGGGAATCAACAAAAAAACAAAAAAAAAAGGATATTTGTGAACAAGCAGTATTACTAGTTTAACTTTGGGTGAGCCATTTATTTTTTATACATGTATATTTTTATCTTAAGAAACGAATTCAAAAGCATAGCTTCTTTTCATTTCTTGAATATGCACCCTCTTTTAGATGACTTTAAAAAATAAAAATAATGGTGGAAAGGTCCTGAATGAAGACGGGAGGAGAGAAGATGCCCTCACTGCTGCTGTTCCTGTTGATCCAACAGCCACTGGCTAGCAATGATGTCTGTAATTAGTATCATGTGATATTATGCAGTTTATAAGGTAATTAATGAGCAACACTCTGATGTTAGACATGTGGGTCAAGACGGTAGCAAAATACCCTGAATGTTCTGATGCTACATAATCACACAATTGTGTGTTGTTCTAAAAAAACAAGTTAGTTGTTTCAACTGGGTTCTAGCTTTAACTAGTCACTTTTACAGAGGATGCTCTGAAGGGTCTGCTGAGAATGAAGATCTATTCTGCAATGTACAGTGGTACCTCGGGTTAAGTACTTAATTCGTTCCGGAGGTCCGTTCTTAACCTGAAACTGTTCTTAACCTGAAGCACCACTTTAGCTAATGGGGCCTCCTGCTGCCGCCGGAGCACAATTTCTGTTCTCATCCTGAAACAAAGTTCTTAACCCGAGGTACTATTTCTGGGTTAGTGGAGTCTGTAACCTGAAGCGTATGTAACCTGAAGTGTATGTAACCCGAGGTACCACTGTACTGTGAAGATACATTGCACAGTATCTGGAATAATAGGCACTCTCTGATCCCCAGGACCTGCACCCTAGGCCACCAAGAATTTGTCAGTTCCGGCTACACCTTTGAGTTTCTAGCTGCGAATATAGCCTTTGGCTTTCATGGCTCTTTTCCTTACTTCCCCAACTAAGTGGACACATTGACCCTGTTCCATATTACAAAAAGGTTTAAGGCATTAACTTCACACAGCAACAATCCTAAACAATCCTGAGTAACTGTGCATGGGATCAATGCAAGTCTAGATGTCTGGATGTACATTGGAATCACTTTTCATGAATTATGATTGGCAAGAGGACTCTTTTCCAGCATTTCCTCAGCGACCATCCCAAGTTCCTGTGGTACTTTTCAGTTCAGTTTTATAGTCTCGTATTACCCACTGCTCTGTCCTGTTCCAGAAAGGACTCACTAGAAGCAAATGGAAGCCTGCTTGGACAGGTACAGCAAACAAGGCTGTGAGGGGAAGAGAGAGAAGGGGATAGAGGGTGCCTGGGTGATAGCAGAAACTCCTCATAGGTGTGAAGGGGCTCTGGAGTTTCAACTAGTTACATCATAATACAGTGGTACCTCAGGTTACAAACACCTCGGGTTACAAACACTTCGGGTTACAGACTCCGCTAACCCGGAAGCAGTACCTCAGATTAAGAACTTTGCCCCAGGATGAGAACAGAAATTGCACCGCCGCTGCCACCACACGGCGGCAGGAGGCCCCATTAGCTAAAGTGGTACCTCAAGTTAAGAATGGTTTCAGGTTAAGAACGGACCTTCAGGATGAATTAAGTTCGTAACCAGAGGTACCACTGTATGAGGTGGTAAACTCATAGTCCTGTAAACTAGTGTAAACTTCCTCAGGCACAGGTCACAGAAGGCAATATTGTCTCTGTGACTGGCAGGCAATTCATGAAGCTTCTGACTGACCAAGCCTTGAATATTAGGAGACTAGTCTTCTGATCTTGCTTGTTCATCTGAGCAAGTATATTTTACCTGCTGCTCTTACAGAGCCAAGTTTCCTGTTATTTCAGCTTTCAGCTGCTGGCTTTCTGAGCTACAGAATGTACCTTTAAACTTTAAGGCTCACAGCCTAGGTTTGGATGCAGCCACCTATGTCCCCAGCCTCACCCTGAAGGTTTGTTATGATGTAGCTGCAACTCCTCTGTGGTACTGAAGTACAAGGAAGCTCCTGAGAACTGGGAAAGCAAACTGTTTCTGTGGTAATGGTAGGACCTAGAACTACTATATGCATTTCTCTGACTTCTTGTCATAGCCAAACTGACTGGCAAATTCGTTGTTTCGAGACAGAATGGTGGACTAGCCTGACCTCTGGTCTGAGCCATCCAGATAGGCTGTTCTTATATCCCCAGCAACCAAAGTGAGCAAAATGAATAAGGGCACATCTGCATAATTCTCATTTTCAACACAACAGGAAGGTGGCTGCAAGATGTCTGTGTCCACAACTGGCTTCACAATCAGTGATAGGATGTCCCAGGAGAAATAGTGTACACCATTTCCTGGATTGTTTCTTGCACGTCTGGTTGGCAGTGCACCAGAACACCAAATTAAGAATACAGAAAGCAGTGAGGCGCTACTAGCATCTCAGCCCAAGCCACTGAGTTAGTTCAAGCGGAGGTGAAGGGTATCAGGGTATGATAAAGGAAGGCCGGAGGCTCCCACAATTGTACCATCTGCAGCAAATGTCTCACAGCCCAGCTCCTCGTCGGTGCTTATGCAAGTTTCTGCTAAGAGCTTCCCAGGCTCGCTATTGTGGATTTGGTGTGATCTGCATCCAGATTTCTTCCAGCCCTTTGGAGTTCAGCTTCTTGTCAGGAGCTCTGCTCCGGTTGCCTGGAAGACGCTGGCTGGGAGAAAAAGATGCACTGCATAGAGGGGGAGCTCCAGGACCCCCCACAGGAGAGATGAGGGAGTCTGAACAAGAGGTGGGCTCATTGACATATGCAAATATAGGCTGAAAAGAAAAACCAGCATCATTGTGGCCTTCCTTCAGCTAATCAAAATGTTTTGTAAATAGGTGTATTAATGCAAAACCGATTAAGGAGCTGATTGCACAAACGTGCGTGACAAACTCAGCTGACATTGTCAGCCTTGCGGAACAGAAACCGGGGAGGTCTAAACAGAATCGGAATAATTAGGCCTTTTAAGGACTTTTTCCATCTTCAAAGTGCTCTGCAATCATTCATATGCTTGAGATGTGACTGGGTAAAAGTGCCCTGTCCTTCCACAGCGGATCTGCTCCCTGGGGTTCCTTTTGAGATAAATGGGCATTCCCCCTCCCCTTTCCTATTCATGCACGTCCAAGGCATTAAAAAGAGAGATGCAGCTTATACTTTGCAATGCAACCCAAGTGGTAAATGCTGAGGTTTTATGTGGAGAAGGCTCATCTTTCATGTAAGCAACCTGGATTCTAATAAGCAGGCTTGCCGCGCTGCAGGATTCGCTCCAAGGATAAGCCGAACGCAGGAGGAAAGCGTCATCATCTGAATTTCTGCTTAGCACCCAGTTGTCAAAGACATAAGAGCCTAGCTGGGGCGGAAAAAAAGAGAGGCTTCCAGCAGAGTGACTTGGGTTGCTTGAGATCCCTTTTCATGTGCTTTTTCAGAGGAGGGTGACAACAGAGCAGCGACATTGGACTCCATTTCCCAACAGCCCCAATCAGCATGGGCAATGATCAGGAATGATGGGAGATGTTGTAATCTAACATCTGGAGGGCCACAGGTCGCCCCTCCCTGTGGTAGATAGAAGTGGCAGGGTTGCCCCAGCCAGACCTCACATTGATGCACTGGCTGGTTAAGTTGGGGGGAAAGGAAAGTAGATCGCCTAAGGCTGTCAGGACCCACAACAAAGGGAGTGGCAAAAGGCTGAAAGGCTACAGACAGCTTTCTTCATCGCTAACAGCAGCATGACATGCTATTAT